ATAAGTATTAAAAGAAATATAGAAAAGGCCTGGTTTAAAACCTTAAAAAGAAAATTTCACTGTCTGACCATTTATATCGAGTAGTATTTCAACATAATCAAAATAATGGCAAATGTTGTTTTAAAATTCACTGAGAGTTAACATCATTCTCATTGTGTGACTGTGTACTTTATTCTTTACCTTGACTGTCAGGAAGCCTGGGATTCCATTTTTAGTTTGAGCCTACTCATGGTCCCAACTCTGGCTCTTGGTAAACTATCTTCTCTTTTCTTCTAATAATTTATGTTCTTTATTTTATTGCCTTGTATGTGTGTATACAAAATTTTGAGAATAGGATTGCTCAAATTCTTTTTTAAAAAGAGTAGAACAATAAATATTTTCTCTTGTGAGTACTTAACTTACTTTTAGTTTGTGTTATCCTAATATACTTTTCAAATTCAAAATTTTGAGATTTTTATGCCAAAAAACAATTTAAGAGGTAAAAACAATGGGAAAATAACAACCAGCTAACATCATGATGACAATATCAAATCCACACATATCAGTACTAACCTTGAATGTAAATAGGGTAAATGCCCCAATTAAAAGACACAGAACGGCAAGCTGAATAAAGTGAATAAAGAACCAAGATCTATTGCTATGTTATTTTCAAGAGGCCCATCTCACATGCAGTGACACACATAGGCTCAAAATAAAGGAATGGAGAAAAATACACCAAGCAAATAGAAAACAGCAAAAAGCAGTGGCTCCAATCCTAGTTCCAAACAAAACAGACTTTAAACCAACAAAGATTGGGAAAAAAAAAAAAAAAAAAGACAGAGGATTACATAATGATAAAAGGATTACATAATGATAAAAGGCTCAATTCAACAAGATCTAACTATCCTAAATATTTCCCCCCAACACAGGAGCACCCAGATTCATAAAGCAAGTTATTAGAAGCCTTCAAAGACACCTAGACTGCCACATAATAATCATGTGGAGATGCCTGTGCAATATTGCCAGTGTGGTGTTAAAGTCACTTTGCACAGCTCATTGAGATAGAACATTAACAAAGATATTCAGAACCTGAACTCAGCACTGGATGAAATGGACCTTGTAGACATCTACAGAACTCTCCACCCAAAAATCAACAGAATATACACTCTTCTTATTGCCACATATGACATACTCTAAAATCAATCACATTTTCAGAAGTAAAACATTCCTCAGCAAATGCAAATGAACTTAAATCATAAGAAAAAAAATCTCTCAGACCACAGCACAATCAAATTAGAAATCAAGACTAAGAAATGCACTCAAAACCATATAATTACATGGAAATTGAATAACCTGCCCTGGAATGACATTTGAGCACAGAATAAAGATACGACAAGCTAGAATCTCCAGAACGCAGCTAAGGAGAGTGTTAAGAGGGAAATTGATAGCACTAAATACCCCCATCAAGTAGTTAGAAAGATCTCAAGTTAATAAAAGATCTCAAGCTAATAACCTAACATCACAACTAAAAGAACTGGAGAACCACCAGCAATAAATCTTCAAGCTAGCAGAAGACGAAAGATAATCAAAATCAGACCTGAACTGAAAGAGTCTGAGACATGAAAGATAATTCAAAAGATCAACAAATTCTGGAGTGAGTTTTTTTTTTTTTAATTAATAAGACAGACCACTAGCTACACTAATAAAAAAAAAAAAAGACAGAGAAGATTCAAATAACCACAATCAGAAACTACAGGGGGATATCACCACTGATCCCACAGAAATACAAACAACTGTCAGAGAATATTATGAACACCTCTATGCACATAAACTAGAATATCTATATGAAATTGATAAATTCCTGGATGCAGCCCTCTCAAGACTGAACCAAGAAGTAACTGAACCCCCAAAGAGACCAATAATAAGCTCTGAAATTGAGTCAGTAATAAACAGCCTATCAATTTTTAAAAAAGCCAAGGACCAGATGGATTTATAGCTAATTTCTACTAGATGTATAAAGAACAGCTGGTACAACTCCTACGGAAACGATTCCAAAAAATAAAGGATGAGGGACTCCTCCTTAACTCACTCCATGAGGCCAATATCATCCTGATACCAGAACCTGGCACAGACACAACAACAAAAAAGAAAACTTCAGGCCAATATTCTTGATAAACATTAATGCAAAAATCCTCAACCAAATACTGGCAAATGAAATCCAGCAGCACACCAAAAAGTTTACTCACCATGATCAAGTAGGCTTTATACCTGAGATGCAAAGTTGGTTTGACATATGCAAATCAATAAATGTGATTCATCCCATAAACAGAATTAAAGACAAAAACCACATGCTTATCTAAATAGATGTAGAAAGGTTTTTGATAAAATTCAGCACCCCTTCATGTTAAAAACTGTCAATAATCTAGGTATTGAAGGAACAAAACTCAAAATAATAAGAGCCATCCATGACAGACCCACAGCCAACATCATACTGAATGGACAAATGCTGGAAGCATTCTCCTTGAAAACAAGCACAAGACAAGGATGTTTTATCTCACCATTCCTATTCAACATAGTATTGGAAGCCCTTGCCAGGGCAATCAGGCAAGAGAAAAAAAGAAAGGGCATCCAAATAGGAAGAGAGGAAGTCGAAGTATCCTTCTTTGGCAGACAAGATGATTCTATATCTAGAAAACCCCACAGTCTTGGCCCAAAAGCCCCTTAAGCTGATAAATAACTTCAGTAAAGTCTCAGGATACCAAATCAAAGTGCAAAAATTACTGACATTCCTACACATCAACAGTAATCAAGCTGAGAGCCAAATTAAAAATGCAGTCCCATTCACAATTGCCACACAAAAATAAAACACCTAGGAATAAAACTAACCAGGGAGGTGAAAGATCTTTACAGCGAGAACCACAAAACACTGCTCAAAGAAATCAGAGATGACACAAACAAATGGGAAAACATTCCATGCTCATGGATAGGAAGAATCACTATTATTAAAATGGCCATACTTCCCAAAACAATTTATCCTTTCAGTGCTGTTCCTATTAAACTAATATTGAGATTTTTCACAGAACTAGAAAAAACTATTTTAAAATGCACATGGAACCAAAAAAGGGTCTAAATAGCCAAGGCAATCCTAAGCAAAGATAACAAAACTGGAGGCATCATGCTATCAGACTTCAAACTATACTACAGGGCCACAGTAACCAAAACAGCATTGTACTCATACAAACACAAACACATAGACCAATGGAACAGAATAGAGAACACAGAAATAAGGCCACACACCTACAAGTATTTGATGTTCAACAAACCTGATAAAGGCAATGGGGAAGGGACTCCCTATTCAATACATTGTGCTGGGATACCTGGCTAGCCATTTGCTAACTGGACCCCTTCCTTACTCTGTATATGAAAATTAATTCAAGATGGATTAAAGACTTAAACATAAAAACGAAAACTCTATAAACCCTGGAAAACAACCTAGGCAATATTGTTCTGGGCATAGAAATGGGCAAAGTTTTCCCAACAAAGATGCCAAAAGCAATTGCAACAAAAGCAAAAATTGACGAGTGAGATCTAAATAAAGAGCATCGGCATAGCAGACACTAACAATAGAGTGAACATAAAACGTACAAAATGGGAGAAAAGTTTTGCAAACTATTCATCTGACAAAGGTCTAATATTCAGTATCTACAACAAACTTAAATTTACAAGAAAAAGAAAAACATCATTAAAATGCAGGTAAAGGACAGGAACAGACACTTTTTTGGGTGACGGGGAGACAGAGTCTTGCTCTGTTGCCGAGGTTGGAGTGCAACGGTACAATCTCAGCTCACTGCAACCTCCACCTCCATGATTCAATTTAGTCTTCTGTCTCAGCTTCCTGAATAGCTGGGATTACAGGTGTCTGCCATGATGCCCAGCTAATTTTTGTATTTCTGTAGAGATGGGATTTCACCATATTGGCCAGGCTGGTCTCAACCTCCTGACCTCAAGTGATCCACCTGCCTCAGCCTCCCAAAGTGCTGGGATTACAGGCATGAGCCACAGCACCAGGCCTGAAAACACACTTTTCAAAAGAAGACATACATGTGGCTGGCTATCAGATGAAAAAAAATTCTCTACAGACTTGTTGCACTTCTTCAGGGGATATAGCAATTATCACTAATCATTAGAGAAATGCAAATCAAAACTACATTGTGATACCATCTGATACCTGTTCTAACGGCTATTACTAATAAGTCAAAAAAATAACAGACGTCATTATTTGGTGATGTTGCAAAGGAAAAGGAACACTTATACACTGTTGTTGGGAGTGTAAACGAGTTCAGCCATTGTGGAAGACAGTTTGGTGACTCCTCAAAGACCTAAAAACAGAAATACTACTCAACACAGCAATCCCATTATCAGGTATATACCCAAAGGAATATAAATCATTCTGTTATAAAGGCATGTCCACACATGTCTTTATAGTCACAATAGCAAAGATATGGAATCGACCTAAATGTTCATCAACAGTACACTAGATAAAGAAAATGTGGTACATATACAACATGGAATACTATAAAGAAAGAATGAAATCATGTCCTTTGCAGGGACATGGATGGAGCAGTAGGCCATTATCCTTAGCAAACGAATGTAGTAACAGAAAACCAATTGCCACATGCTCTCAAAGTGGGAGCTAAATGATAAGAACACTGGGACACTTAGAGGGGAACAACAAACACCAGGGTCTATTGAAGGGTGGAGGGTGACAGAAGAAAGAGGATCAGGAAAAATAACAAATGTGCTAGGTTTAATGCTGGGTGATGAAATAATGTGTACAACAAACCCCCACCACACAGGTTTACCTGTGTAGCAAACCTGCACATGTGCCCTTTATTTAAAAGTTAAAAATATATACATTCAAGAGGAAAAAAAGAGGATTATCTCATTAAATAGAAAACAAAGAAAAGTAGTCAACACACTCACTAAACAGCCTATGTAACATGATAAGCTGAACAACTCACCTTGTTTATCCTCTTCCAATTCACTCTCAGTGCATCCATCATTCTCATCTTTCACATTGTCATGGGCATCTGGTGCCTTCTGTGATGAGGTTTCACTCTCCTTGTCAGGGTCTAAATTATCCTTTTTATCATCCAAAGGTGACTTTGGTATTCCATTCATTTGAACATCAGCCTGTCCTTCTTCATTGGCTTTTTCATCTTGTTTCTCCTCATCTACTTCAAAATCTTCTTCATATTCTGAAAACAGAAAATCTCTAGTATTAGAATGAAAATAGAACCTGTTATACTTAACCCATTTCTCTTTAATGAGAACTTTGACTCCATTATCCTCTCTTCTCTGAGACTTTCTTTGCTTCTTCCTTTCACTCAATTAGTGAACATGGAAAACTAAGAGCAAATGATCAAAGATTGCAATCAGTTACATACACAAGAGCACAAAAGAAATGAAGCTCCAAATGACAAGGCTGAAACCTAATAAAAGTTCATTTACAAATGAACATCATCATCTAAAATAACCAAAATGGAAAGAGAAGAACTTGATATAAAACAATAAATTAGAAATAAATTAAAAATGAAGAGAACAGGATTATAATAATGAAAGTTAATTTGGAGATCCAGTGAGGTCATATTTCATATGAAAAATGTTCAAAATATTTGGATATCAAATTAATGAATAGTGAAGTGGAAAAATTCAATTTATCAAGTCCAAAGGCCCTGAGAAGTAACACTGTGAATAGCACATTCTTTAAGAAACAAATGGACATCAAGAAAAGGCATTATGAAAGATTCTATAAGTAGGCCAGAACTGAAATCATATGCATTATTCATTCCTACAATAAATGAAATAATTGCTATTCAATGATAAAAATTTATACAAAATAGAATATTCCTGTCACAGCCACAGATTTGCTTATTCCCTGCAGAGGTACAACAAATCTGTAGCAGGAAAAGGAAATTGTCACATCAGATAAACTCCAGCTGTCCCTCGTGGTTATAATTTTTCACCTTTCATATTTAATTGTTCCACTTTTTCTTCCACCAAAAACTAAAAATCTTGAAGTGACAACATGCCAACGATAGAGAACAAAAGGATCTCATGCAGAACCAATTAAGCAAATAAACACTTATCCTTAAAATAAAAATTACAAGGAAAATAAAGGTTTCTCAATTTTTGTGTGTTTTAGTTATTAGTTATATTGGCTTCTCTGCCAGTGTAGGGGGGCCTCTTGGGTAATTTATTTGAGAGCTGTCTACCCAGTAAAAGGAACTTAATCTAGAAATGGATGCCCCCTGCATATGCAGAAAGCTCTGTATATGCAGAGAATGAATGAGGGAGCAGTAAGAGGAAAAGTGAAATCAAAACCTTTAACAAAGAAAGTCAGATAATCACAAAAGTGTTTCCACAAAAGAGATTTAATACATTTAAATAAAAAATATGAATATCAGTAAACCAAAATTGTAAAATAAGCAAGAAGATGAAGAATTTGCTTTATATTGCTAGACACAAATAGGAAATACTAATAAAAACAAGTAAATATTTTGGTACAAGTATTACTGACCAAATTATAGAATAATTCCTCACCTGATCCTGTTAACTATCAATCAATAACCCTTTGTTTGTGAGAATCTTCTATGTGTAAGAGGATAAAATTGCAAGATAGAAGATGTTACAATAAATCATTCCCTGCCATGAAGGACTCTCCAATTTTTGTTGTGGACGTAAGATGTAAGTACACAAGAAATACTGTACTCAATTTATAGTAGTTTTATATATGTGGTCCTCAGCAATGTTAGTTTCAACACAGCTGGTCTGGATTGCTATGGATTTTTAGATAAGACATAAAATTATGTGAAGTGTGTCAAGTAAGCACAATGGAATAAAAGGAAAATGGAAAGTCATTTTAGGGGCTCATGGAAGACTTCCCAAAAGAAGGTGAGGCTGGCTACAGAATACACAAACATATATCACACCACATGTGTTTGCTACTGATCATAAGATAAGCAGAGGGCCAGAGAGAATATGAGTGGATTGTTGCAATTTCATTCAGTGTCATACAGTAGTGAAATGTGAGGTTTTGGGAATCAGGCAGTCACATGCCCAAGACCCAGTTAAAACACCTACTATATGAACTTGGAGAATTTGTTTAACATCTTTAAGCTTCAGTTTCTTCATCTGTGACATGGGTTATACAAAGCTGTGATGAATATCAAGAGCAATAATCCCTGGAACATGCTTTGCACAGTGCCATGAATAGCAGGTGCCTAATAAATATTGTGGATTAGTAGTAACAGTTATTGTGATTGGGTAGTGGAAGGAGTAGGTTATGGAACAGGAGAAATTACACACGATATGTGCTCCTTTGACAGCAACACACTTTAGTGGAGGCACCTTATTAAAATCAGAGCAGTACAAGTATCTGTAATTAAGACAAAATTACAGTTATATGATTGAAGCATAGCACAAAAGTAAAGGAACATAAAGTGAACCAAAACAACAGTCCCTGCATCGTATTTTGTGTTTTCTCTCAAATGTGAAAGTCAAGACTGCCCTGGCTTTATTCTATCCCCACTATCATCACATTTAAGTATGAGCTTTCTATTAACCACAAACCTTCCACTGGCAGTATAGCTCAAAGCACACCACCTTTGTGTCATCTACTCATGATTTTGATATGAATGAACTAGTGGCATGCTTTCTAAAATATTTTACATAATATCTTCTGTTCTCCCCATCCCGTTTGCCTTCTTCTAGAGAATTTAATTAGCTTGTTGTTTACCATCTCCACTAATGAGGACGTGAGTCAGCACCAGGTCAACATCAATCCAGCCACAACCTTCTCTTACTAACCTCGACTCAAGCTCCTTGCTGCCCTTAGATCAGCCACTATTATGCAGAGAGCTAAGCCTTTGCTGCTGCAGCTACATTTTTAAAAACAGAAATGGACATTTAAAGTCCATTAACTAGCCAACACAGATGAAAGACTTCAGGAATAGCCTCATCATAGGTATTATGAGTATAAAGTACATCACTCATAGCACTAGCTATGTTGGTTTAAGAAAAAAAAGAAAATGAAAAGCTTTCAATGAACATGGCTTTAATAAACCACCATGTCTTCAAAGTTAAAACACGCGAGAACACATCCTATTTGTTAATCCCTCTGTGATTACTATCGCTACAGATATATTAGAATTCTCATCTCAAGTTAGGACAAAGACTAGAAGAGATTGTGAAGAAAGGTGAGCTGGTGAAAGAGTTCTAAGTGAAATCTTTTGTAAAAGATACACTTTATTCAGTAAAAATCAAACATGAAGTCTACTGCTGTAACAGCCCTATAATTGTTCTCTTGGATTTCTGAAACACTTGGGAAGCAAAAATAGGAGGTGGGGAAGAAGATACCTAGAAGTTGTGCCTTTCCCAAAGCCAGCCCTTCCACAGGTCATCCTAACCCATGGCTATTGTGCCTTCTATACAGGTTTTGTCTCCTGAGTATGAGGGATACACAGGTGTCTCTCCCTTTCTGATTCTTTGGACATGCTATGCACCACCATGTAGTGGGTAAGCTAACTTTTACAGAATAGATGGTTGTACAGTGTTTGAAAGACTAAGCTTTGGAATTAGACAAACCTGGGTACAAATTCTTGTTCTACTACTTTCTTTTTGTATAGCTAAGCCTCAGTTTCTCAGCCTGTAAAATGGAAGTAATAATAATACCTACCATGTTGAATGGTGAGCATGAAATGAGATAGCGTGTGCACAGTGCCTAATTCAGTGCTCAGTACCTGACACTTTCATTATTGTTGTTATTACTGCTTTAGGAATAAGTATATACAGACATACCTATATACATGTATAAGTATATACAAGCATACTTAGATCCCTGAATAGATACACACATATACATTCTACATACAGGTGTACCTCAGGGATTGCAGGTTCAGTTCCAGGCCACTGAAATAAAGATAGTTGCATAAATTTTTTGGATTTCCATGCATCTAAAATTATGTTTCTACTATGCTGCAGTCTATTGAGTGTACGATAGCATCATATCTAAAAACCCAATGTATATGCCTTAACTAAAATCACTTTATTGATAAAAGTTGCTAGCAATCACCTGAGCCTTAGCTGGTCATCGTCTTTTTGCTGGTGGAGGATATTCCCTTGACGTTAATGGCTGCTGACTGATTAGGGTGGTGGCGGCTGAAGGCCGGGGTGGCTGTGGCAATTTCTTAAAATAAGACAACAATGAAGTTTGCCACATCAATTGACTCTTCCTTTCATGAAGATTTATCTGTAGCATTTAATGCTGTTTAATAGCATTTACACACAGTAAAACTTTTTTCAAAATTGGGGTCAATCCTGTCAAATTCTTCCACTGATTTATCAACTAACATGTTTTATACATATTCTAAATTTTTTGTTGTCATTTCAACAATGTTCACAGAATCTTTACCAAAAGTAGATTTCAACTCAGGAAACTTCTTTCTCTGTTCATCCCTAAGAAGCAACTCATTATCTATCCAAGTTTTATCATGAGATTGCAACAATTCAATCTCATCTTAGGCGACACTTCTAATTCTCTTGCTATTTCTACCACTTCCGCAATTACTTCCTCACCAAAGTCTCGCTCCTCAAAGTCACCCATGAGGGCTAAAATCACCTTCTTTCAAACCCTGTTTATGTTGATATTTTGACCTCCTGCCATGAATCATGAATGTTCTTAATGGCGTCTAGAACTGTGAATCCTTTCCAGAAAGTTTCCATTGAAATCGCACTGATCCATCAGAGTAACCATTATCCAAAGCAGCTATAGCCTTGCAAAATATATTCCTTAAAGAATAAGATCTGAAATTACTCCTTAATCCATAAGGATAACAACAGAGTGGATGCTGTGTTAGCAGGCATGAAAACAACACTCGTCTCATTACACATCTTCATCAAAGATCCTGAGTAACCAGGTACATTGTCAATGAGTGGTAATATGTTGAAAGGAATCTCTTTCGCTGAGCAGTAGGTCTCAACAGTGGGCTAAATTACTCCAAAAACAAGCTGTAAATAGATGTGCTGTCATTCAGGCTTTGTTTTATTTATGGAGTAGAAGCAGATAAAATTTAGCATAACATTTAAGGGTCCTAGGATTTTTTGAATGCTAAATGAGCATTGGCTTCAACGTGAACTCACCAGCTGCATTAGCCCCTAGCAGAAGAGTCAGCCTATCCTTTAAAGTTTTGAAGCCAAGTGTTGACTTCTCCTCTCTAGCTATGAAAGTCCTAGATGGCCACTTTTTCCAATGTAAGGCTGTTTCATCTACACTGAAGACCTGTTGTTTAATGTAGCTACATTTACAAATGATCTTAGCTAGGTTTTCTGGATAAAATTTCAGCAGCTCCTATATCAGCACTTGCCACTTCACCTTGCACTTCCATGCTGTGGAGATGGCTTCTTTCTTTAACTCTCATGAACCAACCTCTGCTAGCTTCATACATTTTTTCTGCATCTTCTTCACCTCTCTCAGCTCTCATGGAATTGAAGAGAGTTAAGGGCTTGTTCCTAATTAGGCTTTGGCTTATGAGAATGTTGTGGCTAATTTTATCTTCTATCCAGACCAATAAAATTCTCTGCATATCAGCAATGAGGATTTCTTTTTTATCATGCACATGTTCACTGGAAGTAGCACTCTTAACTTCCTTCAAGAACTTTCTTTTGCATTCACAACCTGGCTAACTGTTTGGCACAAGAGGCCTAGCTTTCAGCCTATCTTGGCTTTTGATATGCCTTCCTCACTAAGCTTAATCATTTCTAGCTTTTGATTTAAAGTGAAAGACGTGAGACTCTTTCTTTCACTTGAACATTTAGAGTGTACCGTGTAGGGTTATTAATTAACCTAATTTCAATACTGTTGTGTGTTAGAGAACAGAAGGAGAGGGAGAGAGTTGGAGAACAGCCGGTCAGTGGAGCAGTCAAAACATTGATTAAGTTCACTTTCTTACACGGTACAGTTCATGACACCCCAAAGCAGTTGCAATAGTAACATCACAGATCACTGATCACAGCTCGCCATGACAGATATAATAATAATGAAAAAGTTAGAAATATTGACAAAATGTGACACAGAGATGAAGTGAGCACGTGTTGTTGGAAAAATGATGCCAATAGACTTTGAAGCAGGGTTGCCACAAACCTTTAATTTATAAAAAGTGCTGCATTTGTAAAGCTTGTGCAATAAAGCAGAGCACAATAAAATGAGGTGTGCCTGCTTATGTATGTATGTATGTATACATATGAATGTGGATGTGTCCTGTGTGTGTGTGTGTGTGTGTGTGTGTGTAGAGAGAGAGAGAGAGAGACAGAGAAGCAGAGGAAGGCAGGAGAGAGGAGGAAGGAGAGAACAGAGAAAAAAGAAGCAAGCAATAAACAACAGACAGAAAGGTTCCATGACCGTAAGCCTATAGTCAATTGCTTTTAGTTCTGGAATACTGTATCACCATATAATCATATACATTGTACCTACCTGATGCCAAGGCAATTCATCAATTTCACTAAAAATGGTACATTCAAAAACGTTAAAAATAGCTAAAATTCTGTTTGGTCAAAACGGTTTCTGCAGATGTCAATAGAGTCTCTAACTAACATTGGCATATAATCCCTTCTCCCTTCTCATCCCTGCAACAAGCACCTTTAACCTTTCTGGGATTAGGTCTGCCCTCCTCTAAGTCAGGGGACACAGGACTCCATACAAAACAGCAGAGGAAGGAGGTCAGGGGTGCCCCACATGGAACAGAGCTACCTAAAGTCCACAACATTTAACGGATATTTTTGCAAATTTTGATAATCATGGTTCGAAGACAAACAAAACAGCCACAGCAACAACAAAAGAAACCTGTGTTGTTGATTACCATATTTTAAAGTGTTTTCCTGGTCGATTTCCCAAACACCTTGTCCTGGTTTTCCTTTACTCGCCATTTCCTCCACAGCAGTTACTACTTCTTTGAGCTCTGCTTTTATTTCTTGAGCCGAATAAGTGGCTGAGACAGAGGTTTTGTTACCCTTGATCGCATTTCTTTTTGGTATCCCATACTTTCTCTCTTTCCTCACTTTCCCCTCAGCTTTCTTCAGTTCCTCTCCTTTCTCAGTGCTCTTTTCTTTCCTAGATTTTGGCAAAGATGTTTTTTTGTCAAGTCCCATCGCAATAATGCACCTATGAAAAATATTAACAGGAAGTGTTTGTTAACCGTTACAGGCAGCACCATAGAACCTCAAAGCTTTTGAAAATCACTTATCTCTTATTCTTGTAAAAAAAGGTATAAAATATTTCAATTACAGTATATGCTAATAAAAATAAACTTTAAAAAGCTAATTAAAAATAAGCTGTCCTTTTTTGATACTAAAATCTTATAAACAAACACAACAAATTCTTAATACATTTATCCACAATAATAAACAAAATAATCAACCAAGAATGATAGTTTCAAAGTAAAATCTGTGTCTTCAAGTATATTTTTAGTCCTAAACAGTAAACATGTATCATAGATACAGAAATATAGATGGTATAGAATTTTACACACATAAAGATATATTTCAAGTCTTTAAATGAAAATTATGTGATAATACAACATGCAGATTTATAAACATAGAGAAGCTGATATAAAAATGGTGAGAAGATGAAAGATGCCATTCATTCTGATAATTTATTTTAACAACACAACAACAGTAACAAAAGACTTACAAGATTGACTCTAAATAAATATGATTGATTTTTAACGAAATATATATAGTCAAATGTTGTTGTATCTTTTAAGTAAATAACTCAGGAGTTTGTACACTTATTTTCGTGGAACTGTTAATATTGTTTTTAGAATGGCCTTTTGAAGTCTATACAGTCTTCTGGTGAGTAATAAGTTCTTATTCCTCAAAAATGGCAATAATTTGTAGAGATTATGAAGTCATTTCAAGTAAATCTGTTGAGCCATGCAGATAATTTGAATGCATTATGACATTAAAACTTTTAAAATCAATTATAACAAAAGTAATGTGAATAAATTGCCTTCTATAGCTTTTTTCTATCTCTTAAGTTGATGTTAAAATAAGAATTCCAATGATGATAGTATATACATTAATAAAAATGATTATGATAATGATAAGATTATTGAGCACTCCCTCTGTGCCAAGCTCTTTTTTGGGTACTCTGTATCCATTATCTTGAGGAATTTATTACTTCATGGACCAATAAATTAAGAACTACCATCACCACTTTACAAATGAGAAAACTGAGGCTTAAAATGTTCTAGCAGCTCAAGGTCACCCAGCAGGCAGGTGACAGAGCTGGATTCTAACTCAAGATTGTTAGGCTCCATCACATCATATTGAAGCACAAACATACTGGTCTATTACAGGTGTAGCCCTCCAGTTCCTAGTTATGATATAACTAGTAGAGATGACTAGTTACTCAGACAAATGTTACACTGTTGAGCTTACCACCAAAGAAAAAACTCACAATCTCTCAGCAGACACCAACACAATCTGGAAAAGTTTCTGGCAAAACCTGGAGAAAACCCATGATCTGAAATAGGTATCTGGTAGTTATCAGTCTCTTCATTCTCCCTTCTCTAGAACTACTCATGTCCCCCTCTCTCCATGCGACACAACTATCAGAGAACTGAATTTATAGTGGGCAGGTGAAAGGGATCAGAAAGCAGTCAAGACTTGCCAGTCCCAGAAGAAGAGGAATAATATGTAAAATATGAAAAATGCTTCAACCTGAACAAATCCAAGGGCAGTTTCTTAAACTGAAGGTTTCACTAAATTTCAGCCATCTACAGTGTAGAAACAGCAAAGAAATTGATCTCAATAAATTTTCCCAACAAGCAACTATGAGAACTGAGTTATATCACTTAACTTTTCAATATCTCCCCATAAAATAAAGCTAAAAGGATTTGCACTCAAAGTAACTATCAGGCTGTAAAAAATGAGATAATAAGATTATACTTATCTCACCCATATTAAGCATGATAAATATTTCTTGACTATAATGATGATGTGCTTAGCACATTGCTTTCCTTGGGATAAAGGTGTCATGAATCTTCACAGAATATGATTACTAGCATTCCCTTCTGTTCAAGCTGTTCTTCCCTTATCAATTGCAACACCAAATCCATTGATTTGGAGCCTCTGATATGCTGTTACTTTTAGTTTATGTTGTGGCTGCGTAAAGGCTTTGATGCCTCCCTACTGCATGCACAGACTTTTTATTGCCCATCTGCTGCAGGGAATTGGACAAACAAAGTGAGTAACATCTGTGCTGTTCTCATCAGTGACTACCTATTTGACTTCTGAATATAATTTGAGGTGTTGATTATGATTACTAAAGTTCAAAGCAGTCTGCATTCTACATAGTTAGGCAATTCTTCCCATGTTTCATGCTAGAAACTGAAAATTACTATGCCTCTTCAGATGGTTCCTATAATTGAGAGATGAGTACAGTTGTGGAACCTCACATTTTGTAAGTGACCACTGCTCCTCTTTTCTTGTTTTTTTTTTTTTGTTTTTTTTTTTGTTTTTTTTTTTTTTTGAGTGCCTTAAACAGGTTATTCCTAATCATTTTAGAAATATAATTTTCTGTTGTTTTTTTGTACCATGCCCTCCTTTTTCTCATCATAAATGTTTCAGGGACTGGTATTTTTTAAATAGATTAAAATTAATTTCACTTTGAATGAATTGGAGGAATTAGTGTACATGGCTTAAAATAATTAAAAGTATCATTATGGGTGTAAACCAAGGTTACAGAAGATAAGTGATATCAGTCTCCTTCAGGGTACGTCTCAACTCTCCATGGAGTTCTGCAGTGTTATGGCCTCTAGAATAACTAGAAATGCCTCAAGTGAGGAAGAGGACAAACAATCAAGGCCCTAGGACTCACTTGCCTACCCCTGTCCCATTTAAACCAGTCTGACTCAACTTTTACCTGATCTATAACAGGGAGACATCCAATGACAATATACTGTTCTACTTTGGGCATTCACAGATTTCATTGGAAAAATGGTTATGAAGTTAACAAAAAAAATTGAAAACCATTCTTTTATGAGAACTATGCACTTCAGTTGAGAGTCATAGGCCTTATTCTTTAATATTGCAACCCTTCTGATATTATTATTTGAAAGGTTGAAGAAAGAATCTAGAGGGGACCAGGTGTTGAAATCATAGAAATAATTGTTCAGAGGCTAGTGGGTATTGAATAGGAGAGTAAATTCCATTAGACAGATTTTGGTAATGATTATTAAACCTCTATAGAAAGTGCTCAGGCTAATAATTTACAGCTTCAATTTATACCACAACTCCCAAAGAATGCAATATATTTGCACATGGAGGGTTGTATATAAGTTCATTAGCTGTCTGGGAATTAAACAGAACTGTGTTAAATGACCTGCTCCCAAATAAGGAGATAGCATATCTGAGTTGGAATAGTAAGGCAGTTCAGGTGACCCCCAGTACAGCGGGGCATTGACACTATCTTGCCCTAGACCATTCAATCTTCTGTTCTCTGGATGATTCTTTCAGGCTCTTATCTCTCTGAAAATATCCAACTCCTCTTCTGCCAGCCTTAACCTCAGTTGATAAATGTACTTATTGTTTAAGAAAATAGAAACAATCAGCAGAGAGCTTCCAGTTGTTCCCAGCACATCTATCAATCCCAATTTACCTCTCTCTCTTGTATGCCTAATTTCTTTCTTCCTGTTACTATACACGATGGTTTCTCCTCTTCTTAAAGCTTATACCCCACTCGAGCCCTAGAGCTCATCTTCTCCTGCCTACCAAAGCATTTGGCTCCAGAAATTTTCCCCCTTTATATCATACTTCATGTTTTTTCTTCTCCAAGATATTCAATCCCTTGTATTAGCATACAAATATATTACAGTATCTCTCATTTTAAAAAATAAAAAGTCTTCCTTGACCCCCTACATTATTCCTTCTGGCTACCACCTAATAACGATTCTTTACAGCAAAACTCTTAAAAAGCCTATAGTCACTGGCCTTAGTTCTTCCCCAACTATTTCTTAAAGCCACTCCAAGAAACCTTACATCCTAATTGCTGCACTGTAGTAACTTGTGCCATGATTACCAGTAACCAACATGCTACCAAATCAATGTCCAGTCCCCAGTCTTCATTTTACTTCACCTATCCACACATTCAACTCCATTAATCACGCCCTTATTCTTTAACCATTTTCTTTATTTTCAAGATACCACTCTTTCTAGATTCTCTTTCTATTCACTGCCTTTCCTTCTTAGGCTGGTTCCTCTTTACCTCCCTCTCCTTTTAAATGGAGTAATATGGAACTCATTACTCAGACATCTTCTCTATGTTCAATTCTGAGGCAATCTTATAAATGTCATCCAAATGCAAATCATTCTCAGATTTGTATAACCAGCCTGGACCTCTTACCTCACCCCAGATTCATATATCCAACTGCCTACTCAGCATCTCTACTTGCTTATCTCATACCTGCCTCAAACTTAATGTGTCCTGGGCAAAAACCACTTCATACCATCCCCAAAGCCTGCTTCTTCCAGAGTCTCATCTTAAGTACATGTTAACTGGACAGCTTTGTTATTCAAGACAAAAAAATTTGAATTATCTTTGACTCTGCTCTTTATCTCATTCCCTGCATCCAATTCATCAGTAAATTCTGTAATCTCTACCTTTAAAATTACTATTAACTCATTCCACCCTTATCTCGTCTCTGGATTGAAGCAGTTCTGCTATTTTCCCCACACTCCTTTGTTTATTTTTCCCATAAGAGTTATTGTTAAATCATGATAGGTCATTGCTCAAAAACCCACCTTAGAAGCTTCCCGTCTTTCTCAGATAAAAGTTAAAGTCCTTGCAATGACCCTAGCACTCTACATGGCTTATCCTCATGGTCTCTCTGACCTCATCTTCAATTTCATGGTTCTGTTCCTTTTGCTCTGGCCAAGCTACCTTAGACACACCAAGCATGTGCCTGCCTCATGCCTTCTGTATATGGTTTTCCTCTATCCCAAAAGCTACTTCAAGGAAGACACTTATATTTTCTAGTTCTTGCTCAAAAAAACATCAGAGAGGCCCTTCCTAACCATCCTGCATAAAATAACACACTCCCTGTGACTCCTGTCTCCCTTCACTCCATGTATGTGCCTTACCCTGCCTTGTGCCCATAATGCTGACCATCTCAAAGATATTAATTGTTTTATTGGTATGTTATTTGCTTTTCCTCCATTAGAATAATTTCCACAGAGACCTGTAATGTAGTTGACTCACTCTTGTGATCTAGCTTGGCATCTAGGCAATGCTTGACGAATACTTTCAGAAAATGTGAAAGCCCACAAGCACAACTCCTGATTTCAAACAGAATGTTCAATATGAAAGCTGATAACAGTCAAAACTGACCTTTTATCATGCATTTTGTTATGCCCAAGATTGAAACTAAGGGCAAGAATGAAAATTGGGTAAGACAGTAATGCAGGCAAACCTATAATAGGCATAACCTATAATGTCCAGCCGTGTAAGTCAGATGCTTGGCACACACTTTAAGGCTCGGCCTAAAACCAGTTAGTAAGATGAATGAGAAAATAGGACAAACAAACAAACAAAAACAACAAGCAAACAAAAAATCTCTCTCCTTCCCTTCAGAAACCGATCTTAAAGTGTGAAGAGAGGAGCTGGGCATGGAGGCTCATGCCTGTAATCCCAGCACTTCGGGATCCCAAGGTGGGTGGATTATAAGATCAGAAGTTCGAGACCAGCCTGGCCAACATGGTGAAGCCCCATCTCTACTAAAGAAATACAAATATTAGCTGGGCATGGCGGCATGTGCCTGTAATCCCAGCTACTGGGAGACCGAGGCAGGAAAATTGCTTGAACCAGGGAGGCAGAGGCTGCAGTGAGCAGAGATTGTGCTACTGCACTCCAGCCTGGTGACAGAGGAGACTCAGTTTCAGAAACAAACAAGCAAGCAAACAAACAAACAAAGTGTGAAGAAATGAAAGATAGAAAGTGAAATAATTTAAAATGCACTACCTTTTATCTTTATTATATAACACCTCTGGAAATTTGATTTATATCCTATAATTTCAAATTCAGTACTCCATGTTACAATAAACAACCCCGAATTTATATATTTTAGGCTCATCTATAGGTAACTTTCTTAACAATTGTGAAGGGAAATGCATTAGTAAAAGCATTCAAAGGAAAGTGTAGCAAAACTTGCCCTCTACCAAAGGACATTTGTTTCCATACTTGTAGCAAGGAGATGATCTCTCAACACACACAAACCCAAAGTAGCCTCGTTTGCCTCCAAGCCTGGAACCTTTTCGATGCTTGTATTCACAGCAGGAGCTTAGCCTGTTCACCTGCATTCCATTCAGGAAAAAGGTGAGACTGAAGGGGAAACCATGATGCCTTTTGGAAATAAACTGAAAGGTCTCTGGAATTAAAATAGAAATACATTAGTGAAAGCAACTGACTTCGGACTAACAGCTGTTGAATCATATTTTTCTGTTAGATAAATACAATATTATGATCTCGATCAGGGGTGTCCAATCTTTTGGCTTCCCTGGTCCACACTGGAAGAAGAATAATTGTCTTGGGTCATACATAAAATACACATAAAACACAGACAATAGTTGATGAGAAACACAAACAAACAAAAACAAGGAAAAAAAGATTCTTGCATAAATCTCATAATGTTTTAAGAAAGTTGTTGAATTTGTGTTGGGTAGCATTCAAAGCCATCCTGGGCCACATGCAACCTGTAGACCATGGATTGGATAAGTTTGATCTAGATCATCTTTTAATTTGAGGAAAATTTTTAATGATAAGATTGCATTTGATTACTTTTATTTAATAAATACTTTAACTTTTTATAAAAACTCTTTGATTTGTAATAAAATAATAATACCTAAGGTTATATGAGCACTTACTATGGCCAGGCATTATGCCTTATTATCTTGTTATTTTTCAATCAGGTGAAGTGGGAATTTTTCTATCGCTAATTTCTAGGTCAAGAAATTAAGGCTTAGAAAAGTTCAGTAACTCTTCTGGCTCACTTAGAAGAGTTCAGTAATTTACACAAGATCATACAACGAGTTGGAGAGTTAGAATTTGAATCCAAACATCTCTGTAGAGTCCATACCTCTATCTAGCTATGCTATCTGTTGACAAAGCATTTAATGACAAAAGCCTACTGTGAGCTCATTAAAGCATTTTAAAATGCTTTTATTTTTAGTTGTGACTTTAAATATCCTAATGCAAATACGAATGAAACAGTTATTTTATCTCCAAGCTATACTCAATTCTGTTTGGATTTGAGAACACTTTCCACCAATAAATTTAGAACCACTGCCTACAATTAATAGTTTTTAATCATCCAAGCCTTCATAATGCTCTTTGCAAAGCTCCCACCCTGCCCCACTTCCCCCACAGAGGTCCTAAGCCTTAGTCTGGGAAACCTTATTCTCTACAGAGTGACTCAAAATCCTGTGTCTCCTGAATATTTCTTATGTCACTTCCTTAAAAAAAAAAAAAAAAAAAAAAAAAGGAAGAAAGAAAGTAAAAGAGCCTCTCTGGACCCTTCCATGTCTGCCAATTAATGTTAACAATTTTCACCTCTCTACTATGCACACATTTCCTATTGTTGCACTTACTACCACATATTAAGATATATCTTTATCAATGGTTTTCAAATTTTACTGTATTTCAGCATCACTTAGAGGGCTTATTAAAATACAGATTGCTGGGCTTTATCTCTGTTTCTGATTCAATAGGTCTGTGGTAAGAATCAAGAATTTGCATTTCTAACAAGTTTCCAGGTGGTGCTGATGCTATTGGTCTATGGACTGCCTTCTAAGAATGCTAATCTAGATGTTTTCTGCTTTGCATGTTTGTGAAATCCATAAGAGCTGAAGTTGATGCATCTTTTTTCTCCAAATCCCAGGATGATGGCATAGAAGGCTACCCTAAAATAATTAGTGAATTATTATTTTAATCTATTTTTTCAGTTATTTAGAAACACTGTGTGTACCACATTTTCCCTAATTAAAAAAAAAGTCTCTACATTAGATGCAGCTCATTCTAAAGAACAGACTTATTAAAAATGTCATTCTGTCGTTTATACCTTAGTATTTCTGACGTAAAATTAAGCAAACTAGGAAAGAGAAAGCTGAAAATGTATAAAGTCTGGGAAAACTAGGATACAATTATTTTTAAAAATCCATTTGTCTTAATTTCACCTCAGGTGGTGAAAGCAAATTTGATTGTTTTTGTTATAGAATCTTGAATTCTACATTCATGTAACATGAACCATTTTGCTGCATAGTATCATGCCCCATAGCTTCCTAAGTCCTCAGTTTAGTAAGAGACTGCAGTCAAGGAAATGCTGAGAATGGGCTCAGGAAATTGTAGAAGTGACGGCCCTTCCATCTGATGCTCATATGGGTGAAGAGAATACCCAGATATTACTCCATTTTGTTTTTTCACTGTTTTTCAGACTTCTAGAACAAGAATTGACACCCTTGGCCTTTACTCTTGTGTTACTTGTTTTTGTAATTTAATTACAGTGATACCTCCCCATCTTGACTTAATGATTTCTTCATGGAGTAGTGGAAAGAATATAGTCTAGAAATCAGAAGGTTTTGGTCCATGATGCAAGTAAGCGTATCTTGGTGAGTCTTTTAACTTTGTTGCATTTCAGAATTCTCAGCCATAAAATAGAGATGGTGGTGGGGAGAATTTGCTAGTCTATCCACAATACAGCCTTAAAGATTTTACAATGTAAAATATGAGAAAGCATTATGTATGCTTACAATTGCAATATTTGTACAGTTTATTATTTATTATTCACTGACAGTTGGTAGCACTGTTTTAGGAACTAAAGAGAAACAAAAATACTGAAAATATCAAATCTGGTCTCCTCACTCAAGAAGATATCATTAAGCAGGAGAGGCAAAATAAATATATCAGACTTCTGGGTTCTGGTCACCAAATCCTCTCTTCCTTAAAATTCTCTCTGGAAATGAACCAAAGGCTTAAAACAAACTGAGAAGTATGTATTCATGAAAAATTACTGAACGTTAGATAATGGGAATCCAAGGCATTTTTGCCTGGGGCTACTGTCCTCCCCAACATCTGCTACTACCTTATCACAGCAGTTCTAATAGGGTAGGCCAGGCCATAAATAACCAGCCACTTTGCTGTCAGTGGGGGCTGACTTGATTTGAAGTGCAAGGAAAAAAACCCTTGGTCTGTGGCATGACCAGTAATAAGTAGCCATGTCAGAGGCAATCTGACAAAGAAGGTCAGAGGTTCCACGGGCCTGTTATCATAGTTTTGGTGTTTTTTGTTTTTGTTTGTATTTTTTGAGGAGTCTTGTTCTGTCACCCAGGCTGGAGTCCAGTGGCACAATCTCAGCTTACTGCAACCTCCGCCTCCTGGATTCAAGCTATTCTCATGTCTCAGCCTCATGAGTAGGTGGCATCACAGACACACATCACCATGCCCAGATAAATTTTGTATGTGTGTATTTTAGTAGAGACGGGGTTTAGCCATGCTGGCCAGATTGGTCTCGAACTTCTGACCTCAGGGGTCTTCCCGCCTCTGCCTCCCAAAGAGCTGGGGTTACAGACATGAACCATCACACTTGTCATGACTGTAGTTCTAATGAGAGTAAGCAATAGGCCAGTGGACTACTCAAAATTTAGCAGGAAGACAGAAACAATAAGGCAGTCATAGAAGCATTTGATAAGCTCATTATAGATCCCTGGCTAACGGGAAGTGGCATGGATCAGAGAGGCCTCAACCTTTTCATGCATCTCCAGCCTACCAGTAGCTTTCCCTATGCACAGAAGAAACACAAGAGAATCTGGTGGAAAATAAAAGTTAGTGCAGACTTGAAAACTGCCCGAAGTTTGAATGTACCCCTTAACCCACTGTACTCAGCTGAACTGTGTCCTCCAAAAATTCATGACCACCCAGAACCTCAGAATGTGACCTTGTTTGAACATAGGGTTTTTACAGATATAATTAGTGTAAGATCAAGATGAGATCACCCAATGACTGATGTCCTCATAAAAAGAGGTGAGGGTTGGGCGTGGTGGTTCATACATATAATCCCAACACTTTGGTGGGTGGATCACAAGGTCAGGAGTTCGAGCTCAGCCTGACCAACATGGTGAAACCCCTGTCACTATTAAAAATACAAAAATTAGCTGGGCGTAGTGGTGCATGCCTGCAGCTACTTAGGAGGCGGAGGCAGAAGAATCATTTGAACCTGGGAGACAGAGGTTGCAGTGAGCAGAGATTGCACCACTGCACTCCAGCCTGGGCAACACAGCAAGACTCTGTCTCAAGAAGAGGTAAGGACACGCACGGACACACAAAAATATCATGTGAACACAGAGGCAGAGATTGGAGTGATAGAACCACAGGCCGAGGAAGACCAGTTGAAGAAGTTAAGAAGTTAAGAAGAATACTTCCTTAGGGCTTTTCAGGGAGGGTGTCCCTGCAAACACCTTTATTTTTGACTTTTGGCCTAGAAACCCAAGAGAGAATAAATTCTTGATGTTCTCAGCTTTACTTTTGGGGACATTAGCACTGAACTATAAAAACACAGAGACTAACTTAAGAGTCCAGACTGAAAAAATAGCAATATACTTTTTAAAAAAATCTGAGCAAAACATCACTGGCTCTGCACCAGGATGATGGAGGCCAAATTTCACAGATTTAATTTAGGTGAGTCACTAAAAAGAACACAAACCACCCCCCCCCCCAAAAAAAAAAGAGAGAGAGAGAGAAAGGGAAAAACAGAAACGACAATAACCCTTGATAGGGAAAGTTCAGAATCCAGAATTCCAGAATTCTCAGGAGCTTTAATATACTACCTAAAATATGTAGTTTTCAACAACAACAAAAAAAATCAAAATACATATTTAAAAAAAAAGTGGAAAATGTGACCTATACTTAGAAATAAAAGGAATCAAAACCACACCTAGGAATCTAACCAAGAGGAACATATATCTACACAAAAACCTGTGATTTTACATTCATAGTCCCAAACTAGAATCACTACAAATGTCTATTAACTGGGGAATAATTTTTTAAAAATATAGTGTATCCACGTAATGGAATATCCTCAGCAATATAAGGAGAGAACCACTGCTGATAGTACAAATATGCATGACTCTCAAAAACATTATGCTAAGTGAGAGCAACAGGACAAAATATTACTCATGGAATGATTGTGTTTATAGGAAATTTCCAGGAAAGAAAATCTGTATAGTCAGAAAGCAGATCAGTGGCTTCCTAGGGCTGGCTATGAGATAGGGACCAACTGTCAAAGAGAACAAGGGAACTTGCTGAAGTGCTGGAGGTATCCTACACCTGGTTTGTGATCATGGCTGCACAACTCTGTACAATTCCAAAAAGAAATTAAATTATACATTTACAATGAATAAATTTGATGGTATTTAATTTTTACCTCAATAAAGCTATTTTTTAAACCTAAAAAAAAACAGGCAATAAGTAAATGAAAAATAATAAACAGGGCGGGTATGGTGGCTAAAGCCTGTAATCCTAATGCCTTGTGAAGCCAAAGCAGGAGGATTGCTGGCATCCAGGAGTTTGAGACCAGGCTAGGCAACATAGCAAGACACATCTTCAAAAATTAGCTGGGCATGGCTGAGATAGGAAGATCACTTTACTCCAGGAATTCAAGGGTCTGGCAAGCTATGATTGTGCCAATGCACTCTAGCCTGGGTGAGAGAGAAAGAGAAAGAGAGACTGTCTCTTAAAATAAAAATAAATATTAAAAAAATGGTATAAGTCAAAGCACAATGAGCTGCTTCGGTTTTGAGTGTTGCATGAAAGCTACTGGGATAAAACACAGTAGAAATCAGTGAGAAAGATGCACAGCCTTAGTCTGAGTCCCAAAAGATGGGTAAGCTTTAAATTTGAAAGGGAGAAAATAGAAAGAATTATAGACAAAGGAAATAGCACAAGCAAACAGAAAGTAATAGTGTGTATGGGACGGTGAAGCATCTGTGTTTGCCAGAGCGTAAGAAGGAATGCACAGATAAGTGCAACAAGATCCAGTTATGGAAATACAAGAAAATGGAGCAGGAATGGAAGGAATTCTAAGAGAGCCAGAAACAAAAAGTGTTACTTTTTTTTTTTTTTGCGTTTACATGAACCCAAGAGGCCAAGGTTTGTGTTGTTTGAAAGGATAAACATGGCAAATAAAAATGCCTGTGAATAAACTGTACTCTACAAGTAGCAGAAAATACACAATAACTTAATAGGTGTATATAATAAACAATCAGCTTGTGGCTTGAGGTCTAAAATCAAATTGCAAGACATCATAAACTACTTGGGAATAAAGAATGTACTTGCCACAGTTCTAAATAATTAATTTTATTTTTACTTCTAATACAAAGGCAGGACAAATTCACGAAAGCCAAATTTTAATGAGTTTACTGCTCCAAGTGTAATGTCAAATGCCACCCCTCCAACTTTTGTTAACAGAAATCTTTTAATACCCTATTCACATTTTACTGAATCATGCACAGTTTTGATTTGTAGAAAGGGCAGATTCTCTTCAGTCCAGCTAAATTGCTAAGATTGCTGAACCACAAGTCAACTCTGAGCCACCCAACTTTCCAATTTTGAACAATTACTTTCCTGGCAATCAAGGGCAAGCTGAGACAAAATTATTGCAGGGACAGGATTCAATTATTTAAGTCCCCATTCCATCCTGTTATTCAAGACTGTCCAATGCCATAAGCAAAAAGTCCCAGCATCAGTATGTATGCAAAATAACACTGAGCCAAGTAACACCCTTTCTACCATCACCTCTGGTTTTTCACTCTCGTCACAGAGTGTACATCATCTACCAGAGAATCATTTCGCTAACCTCATTCTTTTTTCATTGTATCTACCACATTTTCCAGCAAATAGATATAATATATGCATTTTTGTTGAATAAAGTGTGATCTAAAGCTCCAAGACGGGTTTCATCACGTCAATTCCGACTTTACAGCTAATTTCAGCATTCTTCTAAATTAATAGCTGAAAGTTACACTTTAAAGAAAAATGTGTATATATATATCTATGCCACTATTATTAGGGGTTTTATACCACTCATATTATGAAAATGTAGGAAACTCTATGCTATTCAGAGTAGCTCACTGGGGCTTCCTGGAACTGATCAAGGGCCTTACACCTAGCCTGGGGATCGGGGGTCTACTCTTGACTCTGCTCAGAGTGTTACCTTGGGGAGCCACTCCACTCAGGACTCATCTCATTTTCCTGATCTACAAAATGAAAGGAATGACCTCTGGACTGCTACAGCAAAATAAACAAGGTAAATAGCATTCCTACCAAATATATAAAATGGAAATGGAAATAGTTTTTAACATGAATGGGCATGATATTACATTTCACTTGAAGTTAAAACTATCATTCAAGTGATTACCATTTTTGTGATGGAAAGTTTTACATATGTAATTCCTAAATATGAATTTATAGTCTCTCTTTAAGTACATGAATTTCTTTTTAAATTATAGTCACTGTCTTTAATTGATGAGGGAAATCAGAAAGACTAAAAGTAAAAATTCCACATTTGTCACAATTCTCCCCATAACTCCTATCAAGATTATCCAAATATAAATATTTCTTTTAATTGGTAAAAATGCTATTATTTTCCAGACAGTTTATTCAGCAAGAAAGTGACAATATAACCCTGTAAACACTATTCCTTTTCACTGCTGCTTTTTGGAACTAAATATTGAAGAAAACCATTACAGTATAATTTGTGAAAACCTATATTGCATATAAAAATTATCCTATGCTGACAAATGTGGATTTATGATCAAATGAAAGCAAAAATGTACTAAAAGCTATTTAGCCAAATCCTGCACCAAGTTATTTCGGTGTGAGTCACCCTGCAGCTTACTGGATTTGTGATTTTATCTCAACATACCTCTAAAGAACAAATTGCCAATCTGGTATTTTTCTCTTAGAATAATGTATGGTATAATTCACTATGGCAAGCCAAATAGTTAACTTGTAATTTGGGGGACAGCTTATTCGTGCAACATTTTAATGATCATATATCTCCATCCCAAAATTAATCTGTTACCAGGTTAAATCACTCCAAATCCTTTCTTCCACAATCTGCGAGAGTAATTGCTGCTTCAGTTTCAATCATAGAGCAGTAAATCTAGATTTACTTTTAGGCAGCTGGTTTATAAGTCCCTGGATATGCATAATTTCATAAAGTGATTGAAGTCATTTTGATATTATATCAATAGCAGCTTATCTATAGCATCAACTCCAAGCAATTAAAAAACATTCACATTTTATGTGTACCTTTTTCAAGTAGTTTGCCTTTGTAGACACAAAGGTTTTCCCCACCACAGTGCTGCTGATAAACTTTTATTTCATCCCGGAAGTCCGGATTATCAGAAGATAGGTGCACATTTTTCCCCAAATAGATCATTGTAATAGCTGCATTACTATGCAAGGATGTTTTATGAATCCTTTTTGAATCCTGAAATAAACAAAAAAATGAGGCTTATTAACTAATTACTTTCTAATCAGAGTTCTTACCTGACATTGTAAGATAAAGAATAAAAAAGGTTTTAAGTACCTACCGACAAAATCTAAATAAAGTGCCAATTTAGAAATGTACAAAAAGTCAAACCCATTGCAAAATAAACACTCCTAAATAACATATAGGTTTTGGTTTTTTATTTTTAATGTAAATACTGGGGACTTGGATAGAGTTTGTCATTTTTTACTTTAAGTGCAAGTGCATAGGGAGGTGTGTCAGGGTGTGTGTGTGTGTTATATAGAGTAAAAATTTCAATGACACCAAGAAGAAACTTTTGGCTCTTTTAGCTGGTTCTCCAGTAAAAATCCAAACAATTGAACTAAGTAAATATTAGTGACATCATTTTGTTCAAATAGTTTTTGTCATTGACTGCTTTATCTTCACAATCGAGCACTGACAACATATCCTTCCCTGGGATTATTCCACCTGAGAGGGAGATGCATGTGTTTGATTTCTTCTACAGTCATTCTGAAGATTAGGGGTCATCAATATTTTGTGCTTGGAACTATCCAGTTTCACAGAGACATTTAGTTGGTTGAAGACCCAATATTAATATTGTTTATAGTATCAAAACAATATGCCCAAGAAGTCTCTAAAATTACTATATAAACCTATTTGATATTCTATGGCATTGTCCAATTTCAATTATTTCTAAAATATGCAATAAATGTGCATGCCAGAAATTAAATGTTCTAGGCACTCCTAATTAATTGTTTGAAATATTTTCATGATAGTGAATGAACATAATGGTTGCCTAACCTCTAAGAGGAATAGGAGGAAGTAGAAGCAGAAAAAAAGGAAAGGAGGAAGAGGCAGAGAAATAGTAAAGTCTGGGAAGATTGAAAGACTTTAAGAGGGCCAAGGAAGAAAATTGTAGGCCTCTAGAGCTGCACACAGGCCAGACTTTCCTTCTCACCGACTTCACTTTCCTAAAAATCAATTATAAGCTGGACAAAAAATGTTCAGCAACCAACTTTAAGTGTATCCAAGGCAGTAATTTAAGTTGATTCCATCAAATTATAGATGCATGAGAAGCATGCATTTTCCAAAGAATAACAAAGCTGCAACAAAAAGTTTTGAAGGAACTGCTAAAATATTTCCATCCCTAAACTCATGCTCTTCCATTTCAGATAATTTTTTTCCCATATCATTCTATTTCTCTGAAGCAAAAACCAGAGGAAAGAAATCTGATGGAATGAAATTCTGCTAGCAACAGTCCGAAAGTATAAATGAGGGAGAGAGTCCAAGATTTAAAAATTCAAGCAAATTTTCTTGCCTACTGGAAGGAAGAACTCTCTCAAATGAAGAGATAATCAACAGTCATATTACAGGGGCATCAAGAGCTGTGAAAGTAAATCAGCAAACTGGATAATTTCTTGCAGATTAGAAAACATCTCCCTGAATCACAGTTGAAGCAAAGGGATGATGGCAGATCTGGCTCTTCCTTGGAAAATCATAATCCCATGTTTCCTCTTGCCTGGGTAACTGTGGAGCTGTGACATGCCTGTGTGCAGCCCACTGCACAATCAGTGGACCTCAGGCAAATCCAGCTCCAAGCTGTGCCTAGCACCTTAAATGAAGTGTCTGATTAAATAAAATCATCCTCCTTTTGTTAAGCAATACTTTCTGAAGCAGCATGGATTTAGAGGTAGCCCTGTGAGTTTGTAGGAGATAAGCACTGTATAAATACAAGGTAACGGTGGGATTAGAGCCAGGGAAAGACCTGGATCATATGTATGCAATGAGAAACTGGAAGGAGAAAGTTTTAAAGAGAAAATCAAGGGAATGGCAGACCTTTAGCCTTTTCATTTCCTCTTACTCACATTGCTTTCTGCTGAAGCACACTTCTGATAGTAACATCTCTTTTCTCTTGGGTCTCATTACTCCATTGTCTTTAAAAATTATTCCCTAATTATTGCCACCAAGTAAATTTTTCTGGGTTCTAACAGAAAGCCCAAATGACAGCTCATGATTAAATATATGCACTAGGAAATAAACAGTTGTTTCTTTCAGTTGACTGAATTGCCTCTATACTTACCATCTTGCAAAGATAAAATGACCTCAGACAGATGAAACTTTAACAAGGTTTCATGGCCCTTTCTGCTGTCCTCAAGTAAGTATGAAAACCTTCCATGAAACTTCAGTTTCATTTGAAGAACAGGAGCAAGTCCTTATGCTGCTGTACAACTAAGCTTATCTTTCTGACTTCCTTCACCAGTTGCTTATGAATTTCCTTTTCATTTCTTTTCAGATTTCTTAGGCAAATACAATTGAGCTGATAAATAAATAGCAAGCCCACCGAGTGATTAACCCATCAGCCATTATATAGTTGCAACATTTAGCATTCAGTTGATAAACTAAGTTTTCACTGAAATCTCCTTTTATCCATGCCCAAGCCTTTGTGAGAGGTAGATTTAAGAGACAGTACAGGTGTCAATGTGCCTGTTCTCTTTGATAGTGTTGGGTAGTAACTCCTCTTCATCTACTTCACTAAGCCCTCGTGAATTCTGGACGTCAAGTAGGGTGACTGTAAAATTTATCATCCAAACTTGGACACACAGTGAAATAAGTGTTACTAATAATTATGAAATGAGGGGGAAGGGCAGAATTTTGAACTATTCCAGGAAAAATGATAGGTATGGTCACCCTACAAATTAGTCTTCCCACTTTTAGTATGATATTCCTCAAAATATCCCTCCTGTTGGAAATCAGAGTGATCTAATGTTATTAAATAGATCATGTTAACACCCTTCAGTGATTTCCAATATTCATGGAATAAGTTCCAACATTCCTCAGACAACATAAATGTATTATATTATCTAACTCTTATTTTCTCCCAGTGATTGCAATTTCTCATGCTACATTTAAATGTCTAGCAACTGAACTGATTGTAGTGACTCTAACACTATCAACTACTTTTAATCTTTAGGCCTCTATTTATATGAATCACACGATTTTGGAACTATTTCCTTGCATTATCTCTCTCTCAGTACGTAAGGATGATGTCCTACCGATCTTCATGCCATCAGTAACTTGCCAGTGCAGATGCTTTGTAAGGACCTAATAAACGCTTATCCAACTGGACACAGACGTGGAACAATGAAGCATTCTATATTTTGTCCTTTCCATATTCTGATAAAGCTACAGTAGGTTGGTTCCAACCTAAATAGGAAGCTTGCTACATTTATAGTAACTCAATAGGTACCAAAACAAGAAAACTGATTCACAGTGTCCTGTTAAACCAAATGCCAACTTTGCTGACTATTCCTTGATAAAGACTGGTACAAAACCAGCCTGACCGTAAAGAGTAGCAATCCCCATGTTGATGCTGGTAGCCCTAGGGAGAGAAAATCTGACATAAGCCAGAGGAAGAGTGTTCATATCCTAAAGACTAGGAACTGGTTGTATGAAAACCTCACATCACTACATTGCAAATGTTCTTCCCTTTCTCTTCTCTTTCTCTCTGGTTTTGCCTCCCATCTTTGCTTTTAGTATGCTTTCTTTTTTCTTTTTCATTTTTATCTGGGCCAGTTTTCTTACTACTGTGTAAACCTTACCTCATGCTTATTCCTAACATGCCCAGAAACACCTCAATCCTTACAGAGGCATCAGAGCTTTAGATTTTCAGGATTTTCCTCACCTATTCTTTCCCATAGAAATCATAATAAGGGCTCCTGCTCACATTTTCTTCCTCACTCCTCTGCTTCCTAACCTATCCTGGTGTTTCCTTATGTGGCTCTGCGTAATGTTGTGTAAGGGTTGTTATTATTATTATTGAAGATGGGATCTTGCTCTGTCACCTAGGCTGGAGTGCAGTGGTGTAATCATAGCTCAATACAGCCTCAAACTCCTGGGCTCAAGCGAACTTCCTCCTTAGTTCCTCCTTACAAGCCTCCTTAGTAGCCAGGATTACAGATGAGTGCCACCATGCTTGGCTGATTTTTATTTCTTTACTTATTTATGTATTTATTTTAGAGATGGGGACTTGCTTTGTTGCCCAGGATGGTCTCAAACTCCTGACCTCAAGTGATCCTTTTGCCTCAGCATTTCAAATCACTAGGATTACAGATGTGAGTCACTGCACCTGGCCCTGCCATGGTTAATTTTACCTATCAATTTAGCCGGACTTCAATGCCCAGACTGGCAAACATTATTCTAGATGGATCCATAATCAATGCACATGGTATGTCCTCTCTTTTTGGGAACTGTAACAATCTATCTTTTTGATAGCAATTGTCTCTTAATCTGTAAGTCTCACCATATCTAAATAATTTTTAAAAACCTTGCAGAAGGATATACCTGCTTTCATTAAGAAAGGGTCAACTAGTGAAGGTTTTAATCAGTAAAGGAGCATGTTGAGAGTTTTTCCATAAGGTTTAATTATATTTCATTGCTTTTTACTCTTTCTTTCCTTTTTTAAGAGCCTTTAAAAGATGCTTTGGTGAATGGTAGTCATAAAATGAAAGATGATTTTATGTGTAAATTAGTCACAAGAGCCATCTCACCTTAAATGAATCTTTTCCATATCTAAATAAACTCGAGTATTAATGTAAAAGTGTAAACTAAACTCAAGTATTAATGTAAAAGATTCTCCCCACTGAGCCATTTTTACTCTATGCCTAAAGATTGGGGCTAGGGTCAATGCCAACAGACATCTAGCATGAAATCATGTGTGAAGATGACTACGTCTTGAATAGAAAACAAGTGTAAAGACTGAAGCCTATAAAAATGGCTAGATTTATGGGTGAAGGTGAAAAAAGAATCACAAAGGAGTAGGAGAAGAGGTAAAAGGAGGCAGTGAGGAAGCATGAAAGCAGAATGCCATGGAAGGCAAGAGAGGAGAGGTTTAAGGAGAAGGCAATTAATAGCCTACAATTCTGCAAAGAAACAGCATCATAATAAATTTAAAAATACTAAGATGGTAGAAATAAGTCTAAATATATCACTAAACAAAATAAATATAATTGAACTAAACTTATTTATTAATAAAACAGAGATTCTCAGATTGAATCAAACACAATCCACCCATATACTATAGAAACACACTTAAAGCCTAAAGTTTAAATCTAAAGATACCAAAGACTGAAAGTGAAAATGATGCATACACACATATGTACACACACATACTTATGTGTACATACAAGGTTCACCCTTGAACATCATGGGTCTGAACCACATGGGTTCACATATACGCAGACTTTTTTCAATAAATATATTGGAAAATTCTTTGGATATTTACAACAATTTGAAAAAATTTGAAGCAAACTGTATAGGCTAGAAATATTTTGAAAATAAGAAAAAGTTAGGTATTTTGTGAATGCATAAAACATATGTAAATGCTAGTCTGTTTTATCATTTACTACCATAAATACATACAAATCTATTATAAAAAGTTAAGATTTATCGAAACTTACACATACACAACAGATCATGCACGGTGCCATTTACAATCAAGAGAAATGTAAACAAATATAAAGATGCAGCATTAAATCGTAACTGTATAAAATTAACTGCAGTACATACTGTTCTACTGTAATAATTTCATAGCCTCCTTTTCTTGCCCTTGTAGTGAGGTCAAGTGTTGCAAGTATCCACTTAAAATGCGACGTGTTACTAATCATGTCTACATAAGCAATTCATCTCTTTAGAAAATCATTTGTCAAGTAAAACATAATCCTTCGAAGTTTTGGATATTTTTCATTGTGTTTAGTGTAATACCATAAACTCTGAATAACAACAAAGTTTCACTGATGATGAATTCCTGGATGCTAGAAGCACTCCAGGAAGCAAAGTCATGACATTACAAGAAAAGGTTGAATTGAAGTCTCTAGCTGAGGTTGCTCATAGGTGGATAATGCATTTTGTAAACAGAAGACATAATTTATGGTATTGATAAATACAGTACAGTACTATAAATGTATTCTCTCTTATTTATAGTTTTCCTAATAACATTTTCTTTTCTCTAACTTAATTTTGTAAGAATACAGTTTATAATGCATATAGCATGCAAAATATGTGTTAATTGAATATTTATGTTATTATGTTATTGATAAGGCTTCCAGTCAACAGTAGGCTATAAGTACTTAAGTTTTGGTTGAGTCAAAATTTTATACACAAATTTTGAATTGTGCAGGGAAACGACATCACTCACCCTCATGTTATTCAAGTGTCAACTCTCCACATACAGTACACACACACACACACACACACACACACACACACACAAACACTAATCTAAAGAAAATAAGAAGTATTATTAGACAAAATAGATTTTTAAGGCAAAAAGTAATATGACGAAAAGGATTCCCTCACCAGTAAGATTAAAATAAAATGAAGTCTGAGAGCATATAAGATTTTCTAAACATTTACAAAACAGAACTTGACACAGACAGTTTGACAAATCCATAATTACAGAGAAAGAATTTTCATTATAACTCAAGAATTAAGAGACCAAGCACATAAAAAGTCTACGAATGTAAAAATATGAGTAACATCATTAAATTTATCTATTGAACATCTATAGAACCCTGATTTCAACATTTAAAGAATACTATTCTTTCCTAAAACTGGACATATAAACCAAGTCTCCGCAAATACCAAGGAGTTAAAATCATACAGACCAAGAATAAGATGCATTCTAAAAGTAGCATTCAGTGAACAGAAAAAAAGTTCTTAGAATTGAAACATGGCAGAAGAAAAAACTCAGTAGAATGTGTGGAAGATAAAACTGAAAAAAACCTCTCAGCAAGTAGAACAAAAACACAAAGAAGTAGAAAGTAGGAGAGAAAAGCTAAGAATCTTAGAGCATCAGTCTAGTACTTCTAACATTCCCAAAATAGAGATTCAAAAGAGAGAGAGAGAGAGAGAACAGAGGTATTTTTTTTTCCTTGGGGGAAAAAAAAGAGTAAGTCAAACTGAAGCCCTCTGACTCAGGAAACAGACATGAAAATGTCTGTCAAAGCCAGGATGCCTGCTGACACCACGCTGTGCTTCTAACCTGAATGCAGCATCCCACGGGAACCTGGCTCAGATGCTTATTTGTGCTTCACTTGTCATGACCCTGGGATGAAGAAGCTGCTGATCCCTCCTCCATGCCCAGCTACAGAAGCATATTCCCCTGATCATTTTCCTGCTAGACATCCTATGTCTGACTCACACTAGGACCTCACCAGATACCTTGACACACTCGTGACCTGGTCACTCTGACTTCCTCAGAAGGGGCTTTTAAAAACTCTTCAAAAACCAAACTCAAACTATGATCCAAATATTCTACTCAGCTTATTTTCTTCTGGAAATAGTGTCCTTTCATTACAATGCTAGGTTTGAGCTTATTTTTGAAATTTTATGCATAAGTGATCGAACTCTAAAGAAAAGCAGGGACATAGTTCACATAAGTCAGGGTGGTGGAATAAAGTAAAGAACGATGGGGCGAGAGAAAGGGGGTGCTCTGGAATAAAGTAAAGAACGATGGGGTGAGAGAAAGGGGGCTCCTGCATAATTTGATAGTAGGGTTCACTGTGAAGATGTTGTGAGTGCATGGTGCTTGCTTGGTTATTGTTGTTGAACTTGTTCATATAGATAAGACTTTATACATTCTAATGGCTCGTGAGACATTTAGACTCGTTTTTTAAAGAGCATGAACAGGTAGAGTATATTCCAGTAAGACATTTTAACATCTGAAAATCAAATCCTACCACCAAGTATTTGGGAATGATGAGTAAGTCACTGTTTTTGCTAAGTGTGAGTCACACCTTTTGAGAGCATGTTCATTGGCCAAATGGAAATCAATACCAGCATGCAGAGGGAAAAATTAAGATAGTGGATGTGGTCGATTCTGTTATTGTTCCAAATATTCACTGTCCTTTTCTGTGAGAGATTGATACTTCCTACTCCATTGAGGTCAGGCTTGCTCAAGGACTTGCCAAATGGCATTCAAGTGTAAGTGACATGTGCCACTCCTGAGTGGAACCTTAAAAGCATGCTGTGGTTCTGTTCCCCATGAGGCCGGCAAACCCCAGACTCCTTCATTCTGAGCTGTTCCTCCAGTCTGGGTCTTAGAATTACAGCTGACCAACAGTAGATAAGACTGTGAGCAAGAATATTCTTGTAAGTTGAGTCGCTTGGGGTTATTAGGCTAAGCTTCAGTAAACTGCTCTACAGAGAACTCACTAATGAAGAGCAGGATAAAACAGAAGTCTAAGGTTACAGCATGTGATGAAAGCATTTGACTCCCTTATCTAAGGCCTGGGTATGTTGAGAGACAGAGACGAATATTAGACGAAGGTGGCAAATCCAATTTAAAGAGGATGACAGATAGTACGAGGTACCACTAACAGTGGAAGAGTATCTGATCGAAGACACAGGGCAAGGGTCGGCCTTGGGGATGAAAGAGAAAGCACCCTGTCAGAGACAGCCACAACAGGAGAGAATTGGTAAAAGTAGAGTTGAAAAAAGGAAATTCAAGCAAGAAGGAAGAAGATGGTCCCCACTTTTTGAGATTAGAGGTAAGGATAGCTACTGGGAGTGAGATGTGGACATGGGGTGAATAAGGTCCCCGAAGGTGAGGCTGGTTTGGAAGAATCTATGTGCATGCTGGCACTTCACTTCCTCATGGTCAGTCAGTGAAATGTTGACCCAGCTTATTTGCCAATCACAAAACTTTGCTATTGGTTGGATATTTAACATAATAAAAATGAAGAGGTCTTTGCTTTCTTACTAGCTTGTAGGTGTATAAATTCCAACTGGCCTTAGAACTGTTTTTTCTATCAATATTTGGAGAAAATGAGTACAACAAACTGTAGTCTTTTCAAAGAACACAGAAAGAAAATTTTTCTAGGCATAATACAGTAATTTGCCATAAATTGTTAAACTGTATTTTGTTTTTTAGGTATATCGGGGTTTCTGAATTTTTACAAAAGAGATGTTAAGATACTTATAATAACGTGTGATTGAATAGGTGAATTTAAGGAAATAAATGATTTGGAAAGAGATATTGCTCAAATTAAATTTGACCACAAGAGTTGTTAAATCTTTTATTATTAGTTGTGCTAACCTCATTATGCAACTGAACTATTTAAGCCTTTGCTTTCAGATTCATTCAGGCTTACTTATAAAATTGTATTTCTTTCCACACAACATTTTTTGCATGCAATTTTCTCCAAATTCTTTTACTGCAAATCTAGAAATCTAATAGTGCAATGTAATCTGTGCTAAATTAATTTTTAAAAATTTGTTTCATAATCACCCTGGTAAAAAGAGGTTCTAAGCCATTTGGAGCAGTGGTTGGACGAAATCTTCTCCTTCTCCACGTTTCAGATCTATTTTCTCTTGTGATTTTCCCATTTTGGGGAGGTGGAGGAGGAATAGGCATCATGTAGCTGTTAATGTTTGGAAGTTGATATGAATTCATTCTCTGTGAATTGCTCATGGAGTTCCTGAACTTCATCACTGCCTTCTTGCCCTGTAATCATATTTCATCATGTAAGAACCAATGAAACAGAATCACCGACTCAATGTAACCCAAAATTAAAGACAAGTCTATATGATTGACATTGCATGCAAACACAACTGATACCAATAGGCAAACTCAAAACACTCCAGACTGTTGAAAAATGACACTTTGTGGTATCTGCAGCAAATTAAATATTCATAAAATTTTAACCTTATGTGATATTTTTTAACTATCATAAAGTGATGACATTCTTATAATACTTTTGAAGTTTTTCGTCAACAATTAGTTAAATCCAATAAAAGTAAACAACTTAAAATTAAGAAGTTTGAAGTGTCCTTCAAAGCAGAGCTTTAGTATACTTAGCAATAGGAAATTAGTACTTCTTTCATATTCTGATTTCAGGCATCTAGGTATTAGAATATCCAGGGTTTGCAAAGCTGAAAACAAACTGGCATGTTTAGCATAAATTACTCATGTACTATTTAGAATAAACTATTACCACATTTACAGAGGAAAAATTAAGGTATTTATCAAAATTTTAAGGTACATACCTTTTGACCTAGAAATTCTGGTGTTAGGAATAAATCCTGCACAGGTAACTATACAAGTTCACTGATATAAATGTGTATAAGGATACAAATACACACGTGCACAAACACACTTCCGAATATATAAGGAAGTTAGTTGAAAAAAATGTAACATCATACAAGTCCATCAATAAAAGAATGTTTAAATGTTGCTTTGTTCATATGATAGATCTCACCAGATTCATGTTAAAAATAAAAACATGAATCTATATATTTTGAAATAAAAAGGTTCTTTATGGTGTGACCATAAATTTCTTTTAAGTATTTTATGTGTGAATTCTGATTTAAAACAAAAATGACTGAAAAAATTTGAATGAGGGGCTGCCTTTAGGGATATATCTTCATATTGTTTTAGAGTTTAGTCAGCATGTATTACCTTATTCATTAAAAAACACCAAAGGCATAATCAATTATTACATTTGTCAGTTTTAAGTGAGTCACTGAATGTTCACAAATTGGTAATTTTTGTGTATCTGAGGTAGTTTTCCAAATTTAAGGAATATTTAAGGATGTTTATCTATTTTGCACCAATCTATTTATGTTTATACACTATAAAGTTATCTTGTACTTATGTTTATTTTTAAATTTCTAATTAATTTTTTGCTAACTTACTTAGTTTTTTTTTTTTTTGAAACGGAGTTTCGCTCTTGTTACCCAGGCTGGAGTGCAATGGTGCGATCTCGGCTCACCGCAACCTCTGCCTCCTGGGTTCGGGCAATTCTCCTGCCTCAGTAGCTGGGATTACCGGCACACACCACCATGCCCAATCACTTAAAGGCTTAAAGTTCTTAGTTTAGTCAGGTAAAATTGCTTAGCAGATCTTAGTACTAATTATAGTAATTTAGTCTTTCTCATGTAAGTAGGTTTCTGGGGAACTTTAATCAAAGGAGAATGAAGCTGTACAAATACTTTAATTTTACTGTTTGTATCTTTTTTCAGTTCCTCATATCTGTTTCCGTTTGGTTTAGTTGAAGAATGGCTGCGTTTAACCAATACAGTGAGGATTCATTATCAATAAAAGTCAAAAGAGGATTACTTTACAATAATAAATATCATTAAAAAAAAAACAGGCTATTCCCTGGAGAAAATTTCTCCAAGTAGAACTAATAAAACCACAATTTCTCATCAGCCATAATTGCATAATTCAGAGGACAAGGTGGTACAAATAGCAAAGCTCTGACTCAGGGAAAAAATCTTTTTCTTAATAGTCATATAAGAGAATGGAAATAGAAATATAGAATATCACAATTTCAGCCAGTGCTTCATATTTATATAAACCATTTTGGTTTGGTTTGGTTTTATTTCGTTTGGCTGACTTGGATTGGTAACATTAAAATAACACATTACAGATTTTTTTTTTTTTTTTTTTTTTTTGAGATGGAGTTTCACTCTTGTTACCCAGGCTGGAGTGCAATGGCATGATCTCGGCTCATGGCAACTTCTGCCTCCTGGGTTCAAGCAATTCTCCCACCTCAGCCTCCCAAGTAGCTGGGACTACAGGTGTGCGCCACCATGCCCAGCTAATATTTGTGTTTTTAATAGAGACGGGGTTTCACCATGTTGACGAGGATGGTCTCGATCTCTTGACCTCGTGATCCACCCACCTCGGCCTCCCGAAGTGCTGGGATTACAGGCTTGAGCCACCGCGCCCGGCCTTCTTAGTTTGTATTTTAATATGCCTATTGCTGAACAATTATTTTGTATAAGGAGAAGTTATCCTCCAAGTATCTCTCATTGCTAAATGAGCAAAAGGAACTTACAAGTGAAGGGCATTGAAAGCCCATATTTTGACTGAAAAAATTCTACTAACAGAAAGAGATTTAAGCAGATATTCACCAAGGAGTTTACAATTGTTAGAATGGTTTATATTGCATTGTGTCATGCTCTAACTTTTCTTTTCTCGTATTTTCCAATTTTTCTGTAATGGGGTATATTTATATTGTAATAAAAAATAAAAATAAGTAAAAAATAATAGGAAAAAGAAAATCAATGAATCTAGAACTTTTTGTGTCTAGGGATTTAAAAAAAATTATTTCTGAGTAGGTATCAGTCAATTGCATGCCTTGTTTGGAAACGACTTACCAATTTTTCAGATAAATTAACAGGTTTTTTTTACCTTGCTGGTTTTAGTTTGACAGCATTTTGGACATCTTTTCATGCTAGTGCAAGTAATTCTACTTTATACTCTTTAAATGTTCTTTAATATAACAAAACAAGTTAAAAGAATACCTTATTACTTAGATAACTTCTCATTGTTCACTACTGCAAATACAAAAGATTATTGAATCTATTTCTTTACACATATGTGTGTATTCCTAGGATAAATTCCTACTCGTTAAAATGCTTGAGCACATTCATTTAAAATGGTGATATATATTTTCATATTGCCTTCGTGAATGTTTGTACCAATTTCTACTTCTACCAATAATATATGAGAAACTCTCCTTCTAAAGACATTCATTTTCAACCAAGTCATTATTATCTCAATAGTCTGTTTTTGACCAAATCACTTTTTTCCTAAATTAAAGACTCTAACTTCTGCTACTTAGCAAAGTTCAACCTACTTCTATCTGTTGTACCTTCAAGTGCTTTCCAAAAGTATACACCTTACTCTTTTAAAGAGCAATAAGAATGTATTGGGTGCTCACTACATGCTCAGCAATGATGCAGAATACTATTCTTCTTTAAGAGTTTCTTCTCTGATTTTATATTAAATCATTTTTGTCATCAATGCTGTTGAAAAAAATTACATGTAAAGACATAATCACAGTATATTTTTTCTGTGAACATTACATTATAAGTGCCAATAAGTTAGTTTTGTCTGTCTTAATGCCTAAAGCAGTACCTAGGCCGCAGTAAATGCTCAATAAATATTTACTAAATGAAAGTGAGTTTAGCCAGTTGACATTATTGTGGAATTGATCTCAATCTTGTCAGCACATGAAAGCTACCATTAGCTGCCTGTCCCTCAATAACTCATACCCCAAAAACTTGAAACAGGAAAAGGCCCTGTAAAGATTCAATTAGTAAATCCATCCAGTGGCACAGAATGGATTTGAAAAATCACATTAAAGAAAAAAAAAAAAAAAAAAAAACTGCTCCCAGCCAGCAGAGCTTAAATAATACCTGATTGAAGGTGTTCACATATCTGATGGGACAATCTATTGATCAAAGTAGAATTAATAATTATGGAACTTAAAAAAAATATATAATCAACTTGGCAAGCATGGAACACACCCATCTGAATACTATCTAGGGGAGAGGAAATCCTACCTATTGGACGTTGAATATTTCTAGTCCTAACGGCAAAGTTACCACTGGAGGATACAGAGGGTTTTAGCCAAAGACGTTGAATTTTCTGGTACCTTTGGCTAGCCCATTCCCAAGATGAGATGGGAGTATCAGGCCACCTAAGCCTGATAGAATTAACACTCTATTGCACTGTATCTCCTCATTCTGATTCCATGCTCACTAGGCAACATTCTCATTGTGATTTGGCTTCTCATACATGTCTGCCAACTGGGGGAGAATGCACTTCTTCTATAAATTTTTACTATGGCATCTCTTGGTGAATAAATGGCCCCTGAATATCATTGAGTTTCCTATTTTCATTTATTATACAGAGAAAAATGAGCTTATTTTGAGTTCATTTAGTTAGCCTGGGCAATCTCGCAAGATGTGACTATTCCTGGACCCTGGTTAAAACAGGAAATCTCTGGGCCTTCAAAGTGGAGATCAGAGCCTAGAAAGTGTCAAACTAATTGACACATGGCTCAACAAGTTTCTGCCTAACTGTAAGCAGTCTTCCTTAGACTGAAACATCACCACTTTTGGATAATTTCTCTTGGTTTCTGGAAAACTATTATTCAATTAACTGAAATAAGGTTTCTGAAAAGTGCTTTAGAAGCTGAAAAGCACATGAAGTGGATAAATATAGTAGTATTTTTAGAGTTGTATTTATACTTTTACTGTTAAACACAATAATTTGTCTGAATTAATTTCTTAATGTCAAAGTTATTTGTCAATTAAAATAAAAATATCTTAATTTCATATCTGTGTTTTCTAAGAAATGGAATATATTTCCTTTGAACATAGTGACGATCGTACTTATGTCTCAGGTTTCTTTGTAAGTTGGCAAAATTTTCTTCATGTTGGAAAAATTAACAATACCCTCCCTAATTAGTGAATGTACTAATTCTTCCTCCCTATTTAAGAAATTCATGTTTCATGGTTGCCATCCTTCCTTCCTGTGATCTATTAAAATAAGTGAAAATTACCTGAGATATAACCTTGAAAGGGAAGTAGAATCAAGCTCCTATGTATGATTAACTCAGCATTTTTTAAAAATGGACATTCTTTTCCTTCTGTATTCAACCTTCTAAAAGTCAAACTTGAAGCAATTTCATACATTGATGGGAAACTAAGTCGGCATGCAAATGCAAACCTATTCTTGGAAAGTTTAACTTTCTAGGTTTCATGCATATAAAATTTGGAAGAAGTCAACACTAGGTCTTTTCTGATAGAAGTCATATCTGGTTAAGAAAAGTTTTCCCCTTGTTTTTCAATCAACCTTTCAAACTAATGAGAAATCACCATACATTTTTACCAATCTATTTCTTACTTTTTTTGCTCAGTGACCCAAATTACAGGCCTTCCCATTTAAATAAGACATAATTAATCACATGTAGTAAATGTTTTATACATACATAATTTTCACTGTGTAGATTATAATCAGATATAATACCTTGAAAACTGTGATAATCTATAACATTCCATTCAAAAATTAAAATATATTTATTGAAAAAAATAACATTTACCCCAATGGGAAACAGAGCTTCATTTTCCAGCAATGAGGTTTTTGATCTGAACCTTGAAGTTACCTTTGGGACAGTTTCTACTGCAGGATTACTGGGAAGAGGCTGTAATCGAATAGGAGGCTGCATATTTCCTGGAGCAGTATATGGTCGAGGGGCTGTCTAGACAATTAGAGGAAAAAATTCCATTTATATTAGTACCTTGACATGTTTCCAGAACCAATTAATAACCCAATAAATTGCCTAGAGTAATTAATGGTGCCTTTTTACTGAACAGATTAAACTTTAATTATGTCCTTGCATTATACATACCCTTATGACCCAAAGTATTTGTTAAAACATATGGTGTTGAAGTCCTCTACATAACTAAATGCCACAATTATAGAGTACTCTAGACAAAGGAGATGTCCTCCTTTACATTCCTTGTATTTTTATTCATACTGCAAACTTGCTGATAATAATTTATGCTGCTCATACAATGGTTTTGCTCAATTTAATGTTACATTGAATAATGTTCCTATTTTAGGGGTCTAAAAGGATATTATTGGAATGGACTCATTTCTGTCTAAATGTCTTCAATATAAACTCTACTCTGAATCTTTTAAGCCTTAAGAGTGGTGCCGAAGTAAAAGCAGACAATATAATGCAAACAAAAGAGGAAAGGAAATGCATTGCAATTTATTCAATGGCATCCTTGAAATACTAGGAAAACAAAAATAAAAAACTGTAACTGGCAACTTTGGAAACTATTATATAAAATGGGATACGTTTTCTACACTGGATATTTTCCATTTGTCCCTGTAGATCTACTGCTCACCTTCTCTGGCCCGACCTAGACTCTGGGAGTCATTCCTTTTGGGACTGTACCAACTAAGCTCAGGATTTCAGCTGGAGTCCACCAGTGAGAGGCATTAGGAGGAGATGAGATTCGGCTCTTTCTTCTCCTTGACTGACCCTGCAGGGTCATAATGAGCCAGCTGGTTCCGTCTCCCAAAGACCACAGCTGGGAAGCCCTCTCCCAGCTACAGGTACTTGCAGCTGGTTCTGGTATCCAATTCCTCTGTTCCCCCATTAGGCCTGGGTGCTGTGGCTTCTGATATGCCGACCATAACAGGCTTAGCATCCCTAGTTGGTTCTCTTTAGCCCTGCCTACTTCTTTGTAAATAGTTTATTAAACACCTTCTAATTACACTATTTGTTTGAGCCATCTGCCATCTGCCGAGCCCACTGACTGATGCATTTTCTAATCAAGAATATACTGCAGCAAATATCAAAAGTGCCAGTATAGTTCATTAGAAGTTCCTTTTGGGGCATTGAAAGAATATTGTTAGTTTAGTATAAAGATTAGCAATGTGGCTGGGTGCAGCGGCTCACACCTATAATTCCAAAACTTTGGGAGGCCAAGGTGGGTAGATCACTTGAGCCCAGGAGTTGCAGATCAGCCTGAGCAATATGGTCAAACCTTGTCTCTACAAAAAATACAAAAATTAGCTGGGTGTGGTGGCATGCATCAGCTACTTGGGAGTCTGAGGTAGGAGGTCACCTGAGCCCAGGCAGGTCAAGGCTGCAGTGAACCAGGACTGTGCCACTGCACTTCACCCTAGGCCAGAGTGGGATGTTATCATAGAAAAAAAAAAAGATTAGCAATATGTCAAAAGTAGAATAAATAAGACTTTTGACCCAACTGTTCTAATACAATAGTAGAGAGCCTATCAAGAATAGTACATACATATTTAGGTGGGAGAGTGAGAAGGATGGTATTTAAGTGACTCATGATTAAGGTTTAATATATCACTTTAAAGAATGGTGAACAAGAAGTGTTCAGCTCTGGAAAAGTGTGTGTACATACATTAAAAAATGATGATAAGGCAGCTCCTACTGCCAAAAACCAGCCTTAGAAGTTAGGTTTGAGAAGCATGTCCTAAGTTGCTAAATCTCTGATTTTATTAAATCTACATTTGTTGAATTCCCACCATGGAAACCATGACAACATAAAAAGTAATTTTTAACATCTAATGGCAACACAAAACAATTAGTGCCAAATGAACCACACAAATACTGTCAAACAGACAATAAACTACCTGAGAACAGAACTTAGAAGCAAAAGTTCTTAGGAACTTTAGGGCAAGTCAAAGAGGCTAATAAAATTTAAAGTTTCACAGAAGCAGTTAGATTTTATCCAAATGGTAAACAAGAGAAGAAAATGGATAAGCAAAAAAGAAGGATGAATTTGAACATCCAACGCAGAAGAGAGCTGGTTGTGAGCAAGACATGGGAAGAGTAGCAAAGATAATATTCTCTAATACCTGTCTTCTTTTCTTCATTAGCAACAGAATTTTTATCTGGGAACATGGTTACTGTGAATAAAGGTTATATTTCCCAGCATCCCTTGCAACTCTTTGTAGATGTATGCCTCAGTTTGGGCCAATAAGATGTGAGCAGAAGTGACAGATGAGACTTCCAGATCATATGCTTAGAGAGAAGACATATGCTCTCACTTTACCCCTTCCCTCTGGCTGAAATATCCAAATGGTGATATACCATCTTGGCTTTTGTGGATAAAAGCAACACTCTAAGTTTGGTAGATCAGCCAAAAGGAGTCTGGGCTTTTGATGACTTCATAGAGTTGAGATGGCATGTCAGCTGAGACTCATGTATATGCTTGGATGGGGAGGGGACCCTTTTGTTTATTCTAATGTTATTATATTTATGGTTCCCATACACAAACCTGTATCACGACCAATATGAGAAGCCAAGTGAATTGACCAAAGCAGCATTTGGTTTAAAGAAACAAAAGATAAGCCTGCATGGACCAAAGGTAAAAGGTCTTAAAACCTGCAAAGAGAAATTAGAATGAACAACGGAATCAGATTACCCAAAAGAGTTCTTTTGAGCTTCGTAAAACAAATATGCCTCAAGACGCTCTCCTGTCAAATAATGAAACTGAACACAAAAACTTGAACAATCTATTGTAGAAATTTAAGGGAACAGTTTACTGCAAACTAGCACATGATCTATTGGCTGTTGTGCTCTAAATTTTACTTCCCTACATTTGCATATAGATATCATTCAGTTAGATGAATGTGGCAGTCAAATGTTTAACTGATTACATTTATCTCCAAAAACAAATCTGCACCATTAGCTAACAGCTGTGAGCTACAAATTGTTGTAGTTCACATCAGAAGCCACCTTAAATTCGTTATATTTTAAATTGTGTGTAACATATTTTCTTGGAATAAATATGGCACTGTAGCTTAACATTCTCAAAACCATACCAGAATATGAATTGAAATTAACTGCCTGGTGATCACTCAGCTTAGCTATTTCTAATACTTAGTAGAAGATCTGTAGCGGTCCATGTTCCAAGCATATGCAGAATTAGTTGAAATGATTTTTCATAGTTTTAATGGGAGTGGTACAACTAAAAATCTGTATGCTGTTTTGAAAGTTTAGTTTACCAAGGGCACTAACATTGTATTGGATGTTTCCTTGTTCATTTAAGAAAGTTAAAAAAGAAAAAAAAATCAATGGCAATGTCTCAAAAGGATTATCTTTATCTCAGGGACACCTGGAGATTGTGAGTCAAATTTAAAGAATATTATCCAGATTGGAAAAAAAAAAAAGGTGGGGGGAAGAGGATTTGGATTTCTGTAAAATGGGAACTATTTAATTCCAAGATCACAGTAGGTATCCCTTAAGGTGCAAAAGCACCATCAGGGCTGGCCACGTGAAGAATCCTGGCTTACCAGAGAGAAAGTTTTTTGAAGCTGGTGTCAGTGTTTCCTGTAATTTTAAAATTACTTTTTCACTCCTATAACATTAAGATCTACTGGATGTCTCATAAACTATTTATTGAGGGTGTTCAGCTGGAAAATTGAAAAGAAAGCCTTTCAAGGATTTTTCCTCTCTGAAACAGGTGGGAAGACAGAAAACAGCACTTGATTATTTCTTTTGTTTCACTCAGGTTAAGCTTTTGAGAGTCTAGTGAATTTGCCATCCAGTAAAAGAATATGTACATATACACATTCAAATCAAACCTGGAAATAGGGTGACAACAAAGGAAAGACGGTTGCTTTTCATCATCTGAGCTGTTCATCAAGAAATGTCAAAACATATTTACCCTTTGAAAAATGTCAAAGGCTTAACACTATATGTGATGAACCTACTTCAATAATCTGTGAAAGCATTGCAATTTCTCCATAAATGTTTTGCAATTCAGAAAAAGTTCATGCTAACAAGAAAATATATTAGGCTACACAAAGCAGAATGAAGATATAATCAAGCAATTCATTTACAACTTAAACTATCAACCTCCAGCAAATGTGTTACAAATCTTTTCCTGTATCTATATTATTCCAAGGTACTTTACCTTCCCTCAAGCAAATACCACATTTAGGTTAGAAACAAATCAACCTGGAATAAAATATCAGTGTTTAGTTTCTTCAGATAGAATTTCTGCACATTTAATTATTTTTATCTTAGAGTATGTGCACAGACTTTTAATAAAAGGAGCTCAAATGTGTTTAGTGTTTAGCCCAATATGCTATATGGTGCCACTGAATTTATACAGATAAGCTGGAAGTAGAGGGAACAGCAAGAACAAAATCTAGAGGTCAGAAAATATGGAATATGTATAGAACAAATAGTGGTTCAATTTTTCTGTATTGAAGGGTGCTAAAGAGTAATCATGCAGAAAAAAAATTGGAATAGCTAACTTGAGGTTCTATGGTTTAGGGTCTTAAATGTCATTTGGGAGTTTGGGCTTTTCTAAAGAGAATATGGGCCAGGGAAAGTATTTAGATATCTAAGTAACATAAGTAATCTGCACTTCCAGAAAACTAATCTAGCATTAATGAGCAAAATTGATTTAGCAGTAGTGATATTGACTAGAAGTGAGACATTCAAGAGAGACAGAGTTGAACTCATATAAGACTATATTTTCATTCAGTAGGACTGGCAGGATTATGCAGACATGCTCCCAGAGAGTATCCTTTCTGAGAATAAGAAATAATAAATTAATTAGCTGGGATACTGCATAACAAAGTGTTTAATATTACTCACCAGTGCTAATGGACTAGAATGTCCTTCATCAACCAGAATACGATGGCCACGATTAGTCTTTGGGCCAACTGGGGGATGGGGAGACAGGATTGGCATGTTATTTTCAACAGATCTTCTTGTGTGCTCTCCCTAGAATAACAAAGCAATTTAGCAAATAGATGCAGAGTTAGTAATCCTAGGTTAGATTTGTGCCTGACGTGAAAGAAATACTATATAACTAAAGAAATCCAAGAGTTACTTTTGAGGCCTCTCATGGTAGTTAGGAAAAGTTTCCACAGCTTTGTTTAGGAGTTAGGTGGTGGTAAAAGGCAAAAAATTGAGTCTACTTTAGCTGTACTCAAAGAAATAACTGCAAAAGCAGTGTATCCTCCATTTTAGCAGTAATATTTGTTAATTTGCTTGAAGCAGAACACTACAAAAAGCATAAATGAGCATGAGCTTTACTACCGTGGTCAGTAGACTACCAAAAGTAGTACTTTTCTAACTTAGAAAATAAATAATTCCATTAGGCAAAAAGTGTCCCACATTTTAAGAAAAGGAAAGCTAAAATATATCTTGTGCCAAATTCAGTAATAAAGTGAAAATTGTTACAAATAAAAATCATAGGAAGAGGCACAAGAGTAACACATCTCCGACAATGCTACAAAATGCCCATGTACTTCCTGCAGTGGTTTGGCTACCTGAGCCACTGTGAATAACACACAGCAACCTTTTCCTGCTTCATGCAATGTGAGTGACTCTTTTTTTCAGTAACCATTTTTCTCCATCAACATTTCAGCAGATAAATTATAGAATATATGATTCAGTCCTTGATGTAGAACAATATTGGCAAAGTTGGATTAACCACAAATCTCTACACACCAACTCTTTGATCTTGAAAAACTGACCCATCTTCTGCCATTTAAAAACACTTTTGTAACAAAATTATCTTCTCACCCTGATAAAATAGACCTAAATGCATCATGCAAGGGTGAAAAATTACTGTTTCTTATAGCAAGTTATTCTACAGAAGCTTTACAAAATATTCATCAGTTTGTGAAACATCTTAGGCCACACATTGGTAATACTACAGCATACAGAAAATTAAGAACAACATGTGATTACTGAATGACTCAAGAAATTAAGTAAAATCTGTCAACCTAAATGGAAATCTTGAATGTAACTGAATCTCTCATCTCTTGATTCAAGTTTATCTATTTCCTACATTCACTGCAAAGAAGATATATTTAAAAAATAGAAAACAAGGACTTGAAAATGACTTTTACTAAATGTCTACATTTTATCATGCTTTCTTTTGCTAAAGAGAATCCTTTCTACCATATAGTTCCAAGGGTCACATTCAAATGAAAATATGCCATTGTTTCATTCTTAAAAAGCCCTGTTTTCAATCAGGTTGAAAACATTACCATCCATTTTTACCTTCTTAAGACACGAACATACATCTCTTGACCACTATCACAAGAATTATAAAAGCAAAAGAACATTTTCAAGCTTGTCTTTGAAAGGTTTGTGCCTCATTAAAATTTATTTTGCAAAAACAGCTCCTATTTTTGTCACAATCTTCTGTAATGATGGTGGCTAGGATTTAGGCTTGGTGTAACCATCATTGAATCCAACTATGTTTTACTCAAAAGTAAAGTGTCCCAGGGAACTTGAATCATAGTTTCACTGTTTTTTTTTTTTTTTTAATCATAAAATAATACTATAAAGTAAAAGAGAGTTATATAGCTCCTTACCTTAAACCTCTGAATTCGCTCCTTCCTAGCTAAGGTCTCCAATTTCTTTTTTATTTCAAGCTGATGGTAACGCTAAGCATACAGGAAAGAATGAAGGAGAGAATCACATCAGTTATAGCAAAGACCTTTTTAGAGGAAAATAATTCCAACAGCTAACTATATTCTCAATTACCTCTCTTGTCATTGAGATGGAGAAGAATCACCTGCATCAGTGCACAAGAGGGAATATAAATTGGTGTAACTTTTTGGAAATTCAATTTTGAACATACATTAGGCAGTTAAAAGTGTTCATAACCTTTAACCCTTAAATTTCACTTCTAAACCTGTGGGAAATCTAAGTAATTTTTTTAAATGTCTTATGCACAAAGACACTGTCTGAAAGATTTTTTTCCCCTTTTTTCTTCAAAGCAAAAAAAATGCAGAAACGGCATGAAATATAAAAAGAATGGTTATATTTTGGCACATCCATATGATGGAATAATATATAATTGATCACTTAAGTAAGGTTCATACAGATTTTGTTTAAAAAATGGACAATGAACATAATGCAGGACAAAAGCAGGATACAGAATTTGTCAGAAATATAATTTATCAAGGTCATATTGTGTGTCTGTCTCTGTGCTAGGCAGGTGTTTCACATACATTATTTCTTCTTGATCGACTGTAATTGCCAGGTCATACCATTTTACAAACAAAGACCCTGAGGCAGAGGATAATGAACTTGCCCCAGGTCATATACCCAGCCAGCGGAGGAGCTGTAATTTCACCCTTGGCCTATCTGACACTAACTTCCTGTATTTTGCTTGTGTTTTTTCACAAAACCATGATGTCCCTGTCACAACATAGTATGATTTTACTAAGGTAAAAATATGAATAGAAAAGAGACTAAAAGGAAATGCATCTTAACAGTAGTTGTCTCTGAAAGGAGGAATTGTATGTAATTATTTTTCTTTTTATGCCTTTTTTCCCCAAATTTTTTGTAATAATTATTCTATAATTTAAAAATAAGCCTTACATAAAAATAATCTGCCTACAAAGATATTTGAAATTAATCAGATGTATTTTAGAGTGTTTTATTCATTGGGCCTTTGAAAAAAGTGTTTCTCCTCTGTTCTTGGTTCCCTCCTGCTGCCTTAGGAATCCTGCAGACTCGATAATTCCCTATCATCAATCCTCTTCTTAATACTTCCCTTTCCTCCCTCTCTTCTTCTGATCCCCTACCCACTTATCATCAAAATGCTCGATTCACTATCAACATTTTTTCCATCTTCCATTTATTCCCAACTCACTGTACACATCCACATCTGCTGGCGTGCCACGTCCCTACCTCATCAACTCCTTTTACCAAGGCCGCCAATGTTTTCATCTTCTGGGTCAAACCTAATTTCCTTTTGTTCCCCAGGTGCTCATCCTATTTAACCATTCTGCAGTTTGTGAGAACCTTCCAGCTTCCAGGACACCATTCTACAGACATGTTTTTGACCACTGGAAGGTTTCTTTTCAGCCCATGTTGTTGTTCTTGATCTCCTGCAGTGCACATAACTCCAAACAGGTGAGAAACTCCTTCTTCTGAGCTCATTCTTCTCCCTCACTACTCCCTATTCAGTCAGCTTAATTCTTTCTCCCACTTGAGCTTCTCTGTAAGACAGCTGCATCTACCAGCATTACGGCTACTGCTGTTGGCTTGCACCCTTTGGCAATAGCTTCCTAATTGACCTCCCACCTCCAATCTTTTCCAGCTCATTAATCCATCTTCCACATTTTTAGCAACATCATCTTTCTAAAACAGCTCTGCTCATTTCTTTTACTCCCCTGCTGAAAAACATTTCATCGCCTCATCACCTACACCCCAAACTTACTTGAGAATTTAAGGCTCTCCAGAGACTGGGTACCAACTTATTGGAGAATGTCACTTCCTGCCACTCCTGCCAACTAACCCACTGTGCAGTCCAGCCTCTAGAGGGCTCCTTTCCATCTACTATGTTCTTTCACACCTCTGGAACTTCCTAGGTCTAGAACACCCTTCCCGCATGTTTCATAGGAAGCTTGACTCGGTCTTCTAAGAGCAAGACCTCTGTTCAGCTTCCTCTGACTCCCACAGAGAAAAGTCATCCTTCTCCTCTTCTCCGAGCCCCATCTATTTGGTCCTCTCTTCTAGCACTTAGTCACGTTTTTAATCCTACCTTGCAGCTAAAACGCACAGCCTCATACTGGCACATAGGGACACCTGTAATTATTGCTTGTTAAATGAGTGAATGCATGAATGTTAATACAGCAGTATTAGCAAGGAGCAACAGCATAAACTAAATGTGGGACAAATGTGACAATTTAAAGATAAATATTGTTTGTTTCATTGTATTAATATATGCCATTCTATTATGTAAAAATTACATTATTTAGTATATTAGATACTAACATTTATCTAAAATATGTATTCAAAACTTTAGGAATCTGCAAATATTTAAATAATGGCATATTCAACAGTTATGATGTGTCACAATGTGTTAACTGAGATTTTGGAAAACTAGACTTCAAGGATTAAGACCAACAGAGAACTCAGTGCCTGTTGAGTAAATTTGAAACAATGTATTAATTAATTTTATGCTGCCTATTTATTGTTTTCACAGAAAAATTACAGCTGATACTTTTATAAGCAAGAATTTGGGGCCACAAACAATGATTCTATGTAAGTTGTGGACATGATATGACACAGAAAATGAATTTCTAAATTAACAGATTATACACATCTTAAGTGAACACCTCATTTACTTGATGTAGCATAATAATAAATATTTTCAGTGGCACTAGACTTAGTATTGGTTTACTGATGATTCTACAGTTGTTCATAAATGTTTATTGCACTCACAGGTCAATGGTTTTATGAGCCAAGTTTTCTGATTTACTGTTTTTTTTGTGGTCAAGCCAAGAAGTTACATGCTTTTTCACAGAGATTGAAATGGTGTTGATGCTTGAAACTACAAGTACCATGGAGCAAGGCTGAAATAATTTATCAAATTAGCTAGATATCCCACTAAAGTGCCCTGTCAGATTAAAAAAAATATATTGTTGATGCTTGGTTTGTGCATCTATGTTGACCAGGATGGCCTATGGTAGGAGGGACAGCAGATGTTAAAATGCCTATTCCTTGAAATGTAACATACGGCTGAGCTTCAGAGCCTTAAAAGAATAGCAGATCTGAAATAATTCATGGCAGTGGAATTACTGATATTTAAACAGATGTCACTTTTTTTAGCAAATGGAAATTGAGGTACAGATGGTGAGGGCTGGTATGTTTCAGAGTAGCCATTGTGAATGAAAAATCTACATTTGGAAAATTAAATATCACAAAATATATAATGATGTCCATATTTTTCTCCAACTGAAATGAAGAAAGGCTTATGCTAGTCTTCTGGCTCCTGGCTACCCAGAGAGATATTGAGAATTTCTTTGTTTCATTTTCTTTTTTAATGAAATGCAGGAAGAATATCTCTTTTTCTAGGTACAAAAGCATTATTAATTATCATATTAGAAAATATCAATTATAAAGAAAACAATAAAGATTTATACCTCCATCTTCAGTGACATGGAAGCAGAAAAAATAAAAATAAATAAATAAATATATATATATTTGTACCTCCATATCAAGAACTTTATGAAAAATTGCCTGGGCTAAGCACTCCCGAATATATTTTTGATGATCTCGCTTCATAATGTTTAGTTTATATTCTTTTTCGGAAAGTATTCTTCCACTTCTTGTGATCTGTCATGAATAAATAAAACATACATAGAAATATAAAATAGAAAATGTGGTGTTAGTTTCCAAAAAAGAGAGGCTGGAGGGTGGAGAATACAGACAGGCACACACACACACACACACACACACACACATACACACACACACGCATTGGGGATGGGGGAGGGAGGGAAGGAGAGAGAGAAAAAAGGAGGAGAGGGAAGAAACAGTGAGAGAAAGCAGCAGCAAGAGCTTCTAAGCCTAAAGGAGTATATCACCATGGTTGATAAACTTTCACTTTAAATGAATATTTCATAGGGCAGAAAGGAGAAAGGCAGTCTCATATACCCATTCTTGTGAAAACACACACAGGTAGGTACACTTGACGTTTAAAACAAGGTTTTCATCAGAGTAAGAATTTTCCCTTGATGGAACCCAGGTGTTCTTTTCATTTCTCTTTTGAACACTTTCCCAGAGGAAGGGGGTGGGGTACTACCTTGAAACAATGCCCAGGAGCAGTGATCATAGGGCTGATGATTTCGAAGGAAATACTTTGAAGGGCAAACATGGGAGCTACAGAGGAGCTCATCAGTTTGTTTTAAAAATAATTGGTTTCATTACTTTGTTTTCCTACTGCTTTTTTTCTTCCACTCTCCAGCCTGGAATGTAATTTAATTTGTTGTTTTGATTCAGATTTTTACAGATTATGCGCTAGCATACATACAAGATATTCAATATTGGTCTCAACTGGCATCATTGCAAGTCCCAAGAGTGGCCATTTTTGTTTTGTATTTACTTATTTTTCTTTTCCTTATTCCTTCCTGTGGGCATATTTGTTGATTTGTTGTATTGTTCGCTATCCCCTGTAAACAAATAGTGTTACCCATCTGGATTGCTCACCTTCTTCTTCTCCACTTATTTAAGCTCTGCTCTCCTCTTTCATGCAAGCCACATATAAATTTTTAATTCTGCTAATTGTAGTATTTTAACAATAGAGTTGCAACACACTGGAATATTGAGATCAACCAGAGTTGTGCTACAAGTGACGAGTTATTGATAATCTATTTTGCAAATACATCTTCCAATGGAAGAAAAAGGTATACCTATGGAAAGTGTGTTTGGAATCACAAATAACCCACTTACAGTCTTTGAATGTGTTATCCATGGGATATCATGTAACGTGTGTTGAGCTGGAGGAAATGTTAAAATATCCTGACTGCCACTCCCTTGGCAGTTAACAGGAGTCACTGTTATCACCCCTCTGCGACTATGTCTGATCTCCCCAACTGGAGTGGAAGCTCCTATAGGACAAAGGTGCTTAAACTTGTCCCTGCATGAGAACCACCTGCAGGGCTTGTTGAAAATTGATAGGCCCCTTACCAGAGCTTCTGATTCAGTAGATCTGGGGCAGGGCTCTCACATTTGCATTTTCTGTCAAGTGTCCTGGTGACCATGAACACTGCTAGCAGAGAGGCTACATTTGAACCTCTAGAGAAAGGGCTGCATCTTTCTTATTTGAATTGTGATGCATGCAGCCGGTGTTCAACCAGTGCTTGTTAATGATGCTGATAAGTAAATACAAAGTCCTTTCCATTTGTACGCAAGCTCACAGACTGTTATCCAAAGAAGTGATGTTAATAGTAACAATAATTACAACACCCATTTATTGCACATCTCTAACTGCCACAACAATTCTGAGAGCTGGGTGCCATCATTCTCATTTTACAGGAAGTTGGAACTGAAAAAGTTAAGAAAGTGATTTACTCAAGATTCAATGGCCGATGAGTGTCAAGCCCGGTTTCAGCCAGGTCTGTCTGATAACAAAGCCCCAGGAGGAGAAAAGCAAGCTCTCTGAGATCAGCTTGAGTGCCAAGTACAGAAACAATTAGAAATGCAATACCTGCTCTTTCAACACCATGACAATAATAGTTAAGGAAACCCATTGTGTTTTAAGAAGGTAAACAACTAGCATTTTCTATAGCCATACCCCTTTCTTTCCACGGAATACTGTAACATTTTTAAAAGGTTTCACATAATATACATTTAGAGGAATCAGCAATTTTGTGTTAAGCACAGTTGGAAAGCTAATGAAATACACCAACATTATCAATAAACCATCACAGGAAATAATTGTTTTTAAATTTAGGGAGAAAGGTTGAAATGTACATGTCTTCCATACCATATTCTATAAATATCAAAAGCAATATTTTTTTTCTGAAGAAGACAGTAAAATGGTCTTTATCTTCAATTCCTAGCAGTTTCTAGCTCATACAACGTGTTGAATAAATATGTGTTGAATGAATGAATAAACAGACAAATGAAATATGCTGTTGGAACCTCTCAGGGCCCTTTCCTCAATAATTTATAAGTTTTCTTAGCAGTCATTATGACCTGCCTTCCTATTTTTTCAAACAACCTCAAACACATAAATCAAAACTTTGGAAAGAAAGTAATTTTTCTAAAATGAGGGGAAGTGGACGATGTCACTCAAAGAGAAATCCTGAAAAGGTAGGGAATTATTGGACTTAATGAAACAAGAAGATAGGTGAAAAGTAAACCAAAACTTACCAGTCCTGATCTTAAGAGATGCTGCCTTATCCTTGTATTGTTAAAATACCCAGCCAAGTGTTTATCTGTAAGGCTGTTATACGCTGCAAGTAGCCTAAAATATAAAAATAAAACCCATAAGGTTTTACATGGGGTATAACAAAGGCAATTCTTTACTCTCTCATCCCCAAACAGTGCATAATCGTTCACTCATGCAGCCTGCCAGTCATAGCAGGTATATGTTTAATAAACATGTATTGAGTCCCTGCTGTTTTCTAGGCCTTATGATAAGAACTAGGAAATCATCCTGATTTTAATTATTCCACAGATAAGTATGGAAATCGCAAATCAATAAGTGGGTGGGAAAAGTACAACAACAGAAATATGCAAAAAGTTATGGCAGCAGACACAAGGAGGCCACCAGCTCCGTTTGTCAAAAAGGGCTTCACAGAGGAGGCCAGATGGGAAAGTAAGGGCTACTTCAGCAGATTCTTCAGCCTCTCGCGACATACCCTGAACTCTGTTAACTCAAACTTACCTGCTGTCTCTCTTGTTCAGAATACGATGTGGTCCCCTAACTGTGAAGGCCCTTCCTTCACCTGCCAGCCAGCAGATAATACCCGTGGTGTATAAGCATCTCTTCTCTTGGAAAATATTCTCTCACATGCCATGGTGTGCTGTGTAGATCTCCACTCCCCAGCCCCCACCTCCCACCTCATAAGACCCTGAGTTACTATCTCATCACATAATATTTAATTATTTATTGATCTCCTCTGCTAGATTTGAAGGCCAGGATAGAGTATTATTCTTGGTATCCCTACTGATGTTATTTGTCATGTATCAAAATAATAATGTCCTCAGTAAATAAAGATACAATTTTGTTTGGGACTTATTTTTATAGTTACAAATTCCTAACTAAATTTAAGCTCTTAAAGTGTTAACTTTCTATATATGTAGAGAGAGAGATTTACATTAATTTCACATCTAGCACCTAACCAATAATGCATAGATCACTTTTGATTTTTAGAGTCTTTTAAGAGTTAAAGAGGATAAACTGGTTTCTTGATTGTATGCTAAACCTTAGTAGATTGTCGACCTAAGTATATATGCCAAAGTTGAGCACTGTTTTCTGTTTTAACCTATCTTTCATTGATTATTTACTACGTTACAAAAACAGGCACACACATATGTATATACACATGATGCATGTACATACACATTCATACATAGACACAGACATAGATGTTAGTATATACAGTGGTTCTCCCTTATCCACAGGGAATACATTCCAAGGCCCCCAGAGGATGCTTGAAACCATGGATAGTACCCAAACCTATGTATACTAGGCTTTTTTGATCTGATATCCAGCACAGCTGCTAAGCGACTAAAGTGTGGGTGGCAAATACTGCGTGGATACCCAAGAAAACTGGACAATTCACATCCTGGGCAGGACAGAGCAGGACAGCATAGGATCTGACGACACTACTCAGAATAGCATGCAATTTAAAACTTACAAGTTGTTTATTTCTGGAATTTTTCTGTTTAATATTCTTGGACTGTGGCTGAACCATGGGTAATTAAAACCACAGAAAGTGAAATCATGGATAAATGGGGACTACTGTATGTGTGTATATAGAGAGAGAAAGAGAAAGGGGAAGACAGAAAGAGATAGACAGAAGCAGAGTCAGGAAGAGGCAGAGAAAGGAAAAGAACAAGAAAGCCTAAAGACAGCCCAAACATAATGCTGTCTTTGAAAAAATGCATGCCCTATTACCTGTAACAAAGTTTTATAATCCATACGATTTATTAGCAGTTAGTTCTTAATTTATTCTAAGACCAGAGCAGGGACTCATAGAGTCAAGTAAGTATCATTAGCAACATTTTTTTTAGTTGTACTCCTTAATTACATGGAGATGATTTGGGTGACTTCTTCATGCCTTTTTTCTCCTTAACAGCTGGTCGCAGGAAAGTTCCATGCTGCCCAAACAGTAAGAAAGGTTTAATTTCATCCACCAAAGAGACCGAAAAGCAGTTACAAAGCTTAGAAACCAAGGTGCCACATGAGAGTTGAGACACATGAACAACTGCAAAAGCCACTGTTTCACCAGGTTTATGTAAAAAGACAACCCAAGAGCTTCAGGAAGGCACGTCGAAAACCAGCTCCGGATAATGCTTTGAAACCATCTTTAAATGAACTGCCTTGGTGTCCTATAGTTCATCAAAGGTTTCCTGTCTCCAAAAGGTCAACATTGTATACCTTACCCTTTCTAAATCTCAGAATATCTTTTCAGCTCCTCATTTCAGAAAGGTGAGCAGGTGTCTCTCAGTCCTAACAATCATGATTCCACAGTTCACAGATTCTTAAGATAAATCATTAGAGTGCTATCATATACAGTCTTTTGTCTGTTACTCAGGCTCAAGTTTTTTCTTAAAAAATCAATAGTTTTGGAATAGCTGGAGTGTTAAAACCCTGATTAAATGAAGTGGGTTCGAAAAGTTGGGATCACATAAACCTCAACTTCCCTATTGACTGATAAAATATCCCCTTCCTTAATTCAGGCTCTGTAACTTCTTTACTATTGACATCCTAATAATTGCTTCGCCAGCTTTGGTAGCACCTAATTTGAACTCTACTGTCTTGGGCTTCTACTAACAAATGTGTGCATAATGCCTGTCCAAGCTCACAAAAGGTCGAGCAGGTTCAGTTGGGTGGAAAGGTCTTTACACATCTGTTTTCTCACCTTTTCCCATTTAGGCATGAATGTGGGCACCTGCTTGGGATGCCATTTGTAAAGCAACTCTTTCCACAACTATAATCATATGACTAGCATTGGTAGGACAGCTGAATAATAACCAGCAGAGTCCACCCAGGCTCAGTTATTTCCTTTTTAGACAATGCTGGAATTGTTTTAATGGAAACTGTAGATAACTAAATTGTTTGATATCAAGAAATTACACTAAAGTAAATTATATACAGATTTGGCAAAATGGTCAATGCAAGCATTTCCACTGTGTACATATTCATATACATATCACCATCTTTCTGACCATCGAGACTCCTTTCCAGGGAGATGGTCAAACGCTGTGTGGGCCAGGGTCAGCCACACTGTGGTCTGGCTGATCCTCTCTGTTCCAGTCCTCTTCACAGGTGCTTGATATGGACTTGTAGCCCATCTTTGCATTTACCCAATTTACAAGAGCATCACTGACCAACACAAACTCCGGTTAGTAGAGCTTTTCTGAAATTCCACCCTTTCCTCTGCGTTCATTGCCACTTCCTCCCTTCACTTTTCTTTTCTTTTCTTTTCTTTTCTTTTCTTTCTTGCTCATGGTGTTACCCTGGGCTGAATAAGGTCACCTTGCTCTGGGCTTGGTGATGGCCTTGCACCTGTACATTCCTTTGTATGTTACACTCTGCATCCAGTGTCAACACTAGACTTCCCGGTCATGCTGCCTCCAGCCTGTGATCCTTCACTGCACCCTGTTCATCCACTCCATTGGTCAGAGCAAGCACCGGGTTATTGTGACCATATTACTCACAGGCCACGTTGTCATGCCAAGACCCACAACTCACTGGCCAGACCAGTCTATCATGCTTGTTTCTTTATGTGATGATGGGCAAGACTATCTAACCCATCCCCTGGTCAGTAGGTGGGGAAAAACCCACTTCCTGGCTCAATGCACTGGGGAAACAGTCTCCCAGGAAACAAAGCAACCTTATCTCCATGCTGGTTCCTGTTTCCCTCACCTCAAGCACCCCACATCTTTCAGGGCTTGAAGTTCAGAAAAGCCACACAGCTGAGGCACTGGGGGTGCTACCTTCCCACGCTGCAGCCTTTCAGCACTTAACCCTCGAAGCCTTCTACCATGTAATATGTAAATGTGGCTCTGTAATAAAGTCAGTGATTCCTAACAATCCCTTCTCCTGGTTCCAAAGAGAGATAGTTTACCCTATAAAAATCCCAACTCAAAGGAAAGGCATTATAACAGGTTTTTTTAAAATCACAAATGCTTATTGTTTAATGACTAATTTTAGGTTATTCCATAAGGCACTAGGGACACAGAGATAGCACAGACATTGCACTCAGGGAGCTCCCAATCTAGTGTGGAGATAGACAGATACATATGTATGTGTGTATGTGTGTGTGTGTGTGTGTGTGTGTGTGTGTGTGTGTGAGAGAGAGAGAGAGAGAGAGAGAGAGAGAGAGAGAGAGGAGAGATTTCTTCCCATATCATAAGCTAATTCATTACCAAGTATCTCCATGTCAGGTACTGAATCCTGAGCTGGGGAAGGATTGTAATATCCATATTCCATTCTGCAGATTACAAAGCAGTCTCACATACATAGTTTCATCTGGTTTCTTTTAGACCCATGTAATATGAACAGTCTCTAACTATTACAGCTCTTTTATCTCACTAAAGTGGAAAAGCTCCAAAACAAGATTACTATTTAATGTGAGTCAGTTTTAGGAAAACCTAAGGCAATATTTCTTTATGGATCACATTGATAAAGTCATTTCTTCTGGCCTGAAGCACCCTGGAACTCCACCCTCATCCCTACCTATACTGCCTATCCCCACACTGTCTATATTACCTTTGGGGATGAAAAGAGTTAGAGAAATTCCAACTCTAGCTTCAGTTCAATTCTGCCTCCACCATTATGGGCTCCATAACTGGGAACAAGTGACCCTCTGCCTCGATTTCTCTACCTTGCTAAAACACTAGTATATGAACACAGTTCAGCCAATTCTTTGTCAATTTATTGTAAGATTGCTTTTTCTCCAATATCAAAAAACATGCTTCTCATTTCCATTTGAAACCTCATTCAAATGACCTTTACCATACGCATTTTCACCAACATTCTGTTTATTATCGTTAATGTATTCTTTAAGAAGATGAAGCTTTTCTCTCTCTTGTTTCTGAGTCCTCACCAGAATCACCTTTAAAAATTGCCTCATGGCAATCTAGGCATTTTCCTAGCATGCACCTCAGAAGTCTTCCAGCCTTCACCCATTACTTAGCCCCAAAGCCACTTCCGCACGTTTAGATACGTGTACTCTGCTGTTGGTACCAATTTCTCTTAGTCTCTTTGGGGCTGCTATAAGAGAATACTAT